AAGGAAGATACATGGTCGTATTTACGAAGACCATAAATGTATCTGATGCAGTTGTTAAGCAGAAGATCCAATGTATTAAGATGAAGTTGGGACAGGTCTGATCAACACACATCGACATAATCAATAATCGGTACAATAAGTGATTGGACAAGTAAAATCTTGGTATTGGTGGGAAGAAAGTTTTTAAATCGATATAGAGATCGCAAAGTTCCAGTAGTTTTGCGACTCACCTCCTGTATATGTTTGTTCCATGTTAAGCAACCATCGATGTACAGACCAAGGTTCTTTACGTTAGAAGAGAATGGTATGGCATTATTATTAAACATAATTGATGGTAGGGTGGAAATATCCAGTTTAGATAATAATCTTGAGCTACCTAAGATTATCGTTTGGCATTTAGACGGGTTCACGTTTATGCCATACACAGTAGACCATTCTGAGATATATTTCAAATCATCATTTAACAGTGAAATAGCACTTAGGATATTTGAAGGCTCCACTTGCGCATATAACTACAGATAAATGCTCTGTAAGAGCTCTTGAGATTTAGTGTGATGAGATTTATAAAAATGGAAAACAGAAGAGGAGAGATAATACCGCCTTGAGGGACGCCAATTGACACATCACGCCATTCAGATAGTATATGACCAGTACACACAGCCTGTTGGCGCCCTCAAGATATGTTGAGAACATTCCTGAGCTGAAGACGAGATATTCAAATGAGAAAGAAGAGCTAACAAGATACCATGATCGACAGAATTAAATGTATTAGAAAAATCAATTAGGATGAGAACAGTCAATTTTGATTTTTCCATCCCCTCACGAATATCTTCCGTAACCTTGAGAAGAGCAGTAGTAGTAGAATGATCCGGGCGGAAACCAGATTGAAAAGGGAAAGGAATATTCTTTGAGAAAACAAAAGCAGAAATCTGTTTATGAGCAACAGCTTTCAGAACCTTGGAAAGAAAAGGCAGAATAGAAATTGGTCTGAAATTAGGTAAAGCGCTGCATTCAGTAGCTTTCGGGATGGAAATAATAAAGGCTTTACGCCAGAGAGTTGGAAAAGAACCATTCATCAGCGAAAAGTTAATTATATGAGTAATCACAGGTAAAACAGAATCCAGCACGTGCAAAACCATTACCCTACCCACATCTTGCTTTGCGTACCTCGTCTTCGTCTACAGGAGTAAAAGTGAAAGTTTCATGGGAATAAGTAGGCATGGAAGATATAAAAGAGATAGCATTAGCTCTAGAATCATCAGAAACTATTTGAGAAGACAGAAAATGACGATTAAAATCGTCAGGAGAAAAGGTGACGCTATTATAGTCAAATTGCGATTTTCCATATCCAAGCGTATTCAGAAACTTCCATATATCAGCCGAAGATGAATTAAGTAGTTGTTCGTGGATATATCGGCGTTTTGCAGCTCTCACCATCTGATTGCATCGATTTCTTGCAGCTTTATATGCTTGCCACTTTACCTCAGTGCGATTCTTCCTGAAAACACAGAAAGTTTTATCGCGTTAAGCCATAGCCAAAGCCGTGATCCATGGAACAGGAGGACGCTTCAGTCGAACAACACGTTTAGGAGCATGTTTATTATACAGTCCTAATATGTTGCTGTTAAAGAAGTCGACTTTTTCATCAACTGTGGATGCAGTATATACAGATGACCAGTTAATAGCATCTGCATCGCATCTAAGCTTGTCCATATCTATTCTAGCAAGACTACGAATAGAGATGGACACAGATAAAGGCTTGGGAGACTTTAATTTATATGACAGATGAAGCAGGTCATGCCGTGATAAAACCAGAAGCAGGGAATTGTCTATAATTGACAACGTGATCAACGGAGGAGACGGCTATAAGGTCAATCCAGGTATCAGCAGAGTGGAAGTTGTAATGTGTTGCATTTAGAGGCAAAATAGTGAAATTATACGACAACATGGTTGACCTCAGTTTTGAAGATTTAAGAGAAACCCCAGATAGGTCAGTGTTAAAGTCTCAAGCATTTAAAAGTAAACAACTAAAGAAAACATAATAAAAAACAAAGTAATAAGTACGACTTTAAAGACTATAAACTCTGTTACATACACATAAATAGTTTCTTTTTACGAAATAAGATTAATTAAAATTAATTTATTCTTTATTAAAATTTAAATATTAATTTCACATTATTAAATGTCAGTTGACATTTAATTATGAGAAATTAATTTTTATTCATTGTCAACTGACATTGATAATAAGAAATTTAAATAAAATTGACATACACTCTCAAGCCTGCTTAGAAGATTAGGCAGAGACTACGGACTTCTATTTGGCACGATTCTGACATACAACTTTCGCTTCCATATAACTACTCATACATCATGCTTTATATTAAGAATTTCGGCAATTTGGCTTTTATACTTCCATCTAGAGCGTTACTTGCTGACTCCGCCACTCACTTCTGCAGTAAAAAAAATAAGTTGACATTTCTTCCTCATTCATTCTTTCTAGGGTTTTCTATGAAATTTATTATATGAAATTTTTGGTACGGCTACTATTTCATTGTCAGACCCGGGTACCCGGTTACCCATTTTGATCGAAGAACTTATCAAAATTATTGGAAAATTAATAAATTAATTAATAAAAACAATTTTTAGGGAAGTAGTTGCTTAAAAATAATATTAAAAATGTGCAAATTTGCACTACAAACAATTAAAACTACACTAAAGAAGGCAAGGTTGATTTTTTTACAAAAATGCAGTAAAATTGAGGTTATGTTAGGTTATGTCACCGTATTCTGTTTTTATTTCGTTGCAGTTTGATTGTAAAGTTTTATTTCTATAATTTTCATGGTATTGTAGAAAATATTAGGTTGGCAATTCTATTATTGTTCGGTGAACGGTGAGTAATTGAATTAAATATTATTAATACAAAATAAAATATATTATCTAGTGGATAACCTATAAAATTTTACTAAACGTTGGATTACTTTTCATAGGCAAAATGGATAAATCTGTTTTTGGAGAATGAAAATAGGTAAAAAAAATGCAGAATAAGGAATCAGTACAATGTTCAATATACCCAAAAATATTATTTAAAAAAGGCTTTTCAACAAGTGTTTTAAAGTGAGTAAAACATTTTGATACAAACATTTTATACGTGGGAGAGCCATACTGCAGTTATATTAGTAGCATAGTTGTAGCACGAATGGGTCGGCTCGACCGGGGAAGGACCACGCTCTCACAAAACACCAGCGTAAAATAGTAGCTTAATGCTGCTGTGTTTCGTATGGTGAGTGTAGAGAACCGGAGACCCTTTTTACTGGAAACGAGGCATTCCATCTTAGTCCTCACGGGTGACAACGCAACTGCATTTTAAATCGTAATCGAGGTTAGATGTAGATGTCTATGGGCCACAGCAACCACTTACCATCAGGTGGACTGTGTGCTCGTTTGTCAGCCAAGGCTATAAAAATATTATGCCTGCTTTAAATGACATATCCACATTATTCTGTTGCTTATGAAAGAGTTTTTGCTTCAAGTTTAAACATATCAAGAGCACTGATTGATTGATGTTTGTTCAACGAACATTAGTGAACCCTACCTGCGTTATTTGTGCCTTTATTGATACTAAAACGTATCCCGGAGCCCGTAATTATAACATTATTCATGATCCGCTATTACCACTGACAGAGCGATCACTTGGTCAATCATACTTCACGAAGGTTATTTGACCCCTTATAAGAATATTTTTTAAGGCGTCAGGGTTAACACTCTATCCTATATAAAAAGTAAAATACATAAAGATTGAAAAACTGAACTTTACGCGCGAAAAAGAAGTGCCATCGACATGGTCCTCTCAATCTGAATCAAGTTCAAGGCTAGTTCCAAAAAGAGCGCGAATAACAATATTTTTTTTAACCTTGGTTGCACAAGACGGTATTTCCATTCGGGCCGTCAGTCGTAGGAAATTCATCCAAGAAGCTTTTCATCATAAACAGCTAACTTTACCAAAAAACGAAGGCAGTACGATGGAACTAGTTCTAGAGTATTATGAACAACAAGAATCGAGTATGGTTAACAAGTTACAAAAGATAATAAACTCTGATCGTAGATTCAGTCTAACTCTTGATGAATGGACAAGCCCAAAAAAGTAGTTTAGGTGAGAGATATGGTTCTTGAACATCTCGATAAACTCGGTTTGAAACTTGAACGTCACATTGTGGCTCGTGCTACGGATGGCGGAGCGGTTATACAAAAGTTTGGCAAAGAAACCCAACAGAGATGATGCTCTGCACTTAGCTGTGATATATGTCATATACAAAAGGAAAACTATTTCAGAAGAAAACATGATTATAAGAAAATTGTCTTCTTTTCTGCAAAGCTAGTAAATACCTGGGTACCCGGAAAATCCCAGGTATATGAAATAATAATATCCGACACCTGGGTATTAAAAAAGGCAGGTAAGCGAAAACCCTAATTCTTTCTTTCTGCGTGTCCAAACCACTGAGATTTTCTTTTTTTAAATCTTAGTCACAACATCTTGCAAACAACACTTTTTTCTAATTACACAATTTCTCTTACTATCATTATGTGTCAGCTTTAACATAGATTTAACATTTTTACAGAGTTGATTCTACTTTCATGCTTTTTCTGCCAAACTCTACTTTCACTAGTATTAAGGTACTTAACGTATTGCAATTTTGAAATTGCATTAGATATTTTTACACCCCTAATGTATGGTTAATTTTAATTAGTTAATTTTACATTGGAACCACTTAATAAGATTAATAACACCTTGCCACTTTTAAACACTATATACTTTGGTTATTACAAAAAAAACTTTTTTCATGTAGTCTAACTTCGGAATTCCTTTCTCTCTTCTTACATTTTTCTGGTCCTTTCATTAACACATTTTTGTTAGTTGTGTGTTGTGTAGGCGTGTGTTAACACGCTTTTTTTCCCTCTATATTTTATTTTATTATGTTAAGCAGTTTTGTTTTTGGTTACAGAGTAAAAATGCTACAAAATTACAAGGACAATAAAATTAAAGAACAAATCGCCTTAGATGTACAAAATGCATTATCATCGTTAAAAGTCGTACCAAATAAATGCACAGTACAACCTTATCGGAAAGTTCCATTGAAAATACAGTTTAAGCCCATTGGGCTGATAAGCACCTTAAATGTTCAGGTGTAATATTAATTGCATGTTTAAATTTTTAATTATTAATTAAAATAATGTAAACTAATCAGATTAATCATGTAAAAATAGGTACCTTCGTAAAGTAAAGTCAGAATTAAGATTATCTCATTATTATTTATGTGTGTTACATAATCAACTTTATTAACTCGTTATTATATTGTAAGTATTATATGACTTAATACAAACTGTTAAATCATTTGCAGTTAAATATGAAAGTGTTTCAATTTGAAAGACCCCTAGTGCAACTTAGCGGAAACGCAACGGGCATGAGTCTGTGTCTCAGCCAGAATTCCTTACAATTTGGCCGTGTACGAAAACGCAGCTGTAAAATATTGAAAGTTATGTTACAAAACAAAGGAGATTTTAGTACCAGGTAAAACACAGTTCTTGGTATAAACTAAATAGTTTTATCTTTTATAAGTTTCAGTACTTAATACTTGCATCATAATAACAACTAAAAAATAGCGTGGTAGCTATTGCAAATACCTCCCCTATGAGAGGCAATCCACAGCGATGCCTATATTCAGCTGCGGACTTTTGATACGCTATAACGGTATTCAAGTAGCGAAGCCTCCATAGAAGCTGAGAAGCCGGGATTGCCCTATCAAACTGCTCAATCAATGATATCAACTAATAAAATAACTCACAAACTATTTCAAATTTCCCGCACGCTTCGCTGTTCTACACAGGTCATGACCTCATAGCTTTAGCGATACTGCTGTCATAAAAAAGTAGTTGAATTGAGCGATTAGTCGTCTCTCACGCACGCGTAAGCTTTTTACCGAGCTTTCGAAAAGACGATCACTCCCTTTCTAACCTGTGGCAAAATGTTCTATAATGAAATATAACTACGACTGTTTATATAGCAATTAGTATAGAGCAAAAAGCCAGGCTTTCAGTGTGAAGTTAGTCGAGTGCGGGGGTGCACGTGTGATACGTTTGCAAGTTCACTTCATATTTCAATGTTTACTCTGTTTGTTTACTAGAGGAATGAATATTGCGAGTTGAAAATTTATGTTTTTTAAAGATTTTAGTAAAAATGGAGGATGATAGTGTTCCTTGTAATAAATCGAAGTGTATTAAAGTGCTAATCGGTGAGGAAAAGGTAAAATCTTTAAACTTTGTTGAGAAAATACACGAGGTCAAGAGCGTCTTTCAGACTTATCAATTATCGCGATTGAAAAACAGTTATTCGTACAATTAAACGTTCACCAACATTATACTCGGACGTAATCAAATCTTTCCTTAAGAAAGAGAGACGATTCGATTTAGAATATAAATAATTTGTTTTTGTTTTCATTTTTTTTGTACATAGTTTTTTTGTACTTTGTTCATGTTTTTATTTTGTTCATGTATTGTATGTAAATATCTTTTTCTTTCCCTCAAGCAAACCCAAACGACTTTTTTCAAAGCCACCCAAGGTATGCAATTGCTGATATATTATACAATCTATCTGGCAGTGGTATGCCTTCTGTGCTTTGTTAAACACGTCCTCGACAGCACTGAATATAAACTGAACAGTGGAGGCAGATCAAGACTGGTGTATTTTTAGAAAACTGCTGAAAACAACAATCTATATCTTTATCAATTTATATCTTGGGCTTGCCATAGTTTGGAGCCTTAGCTTCGTCACTGCGGTACTCTACAGATAGATGCATTGTTTACAGATTCTGGTGGCAGCCATTAAAAACTGACGAGTTCACAATTTCTCCTATGCAAGGAAATGTTGCTGCACGTTCTAATGTAACATTTACAGTCACCTTTAGGCCAATAAATATCAATCCTTTTATAAAAGTTTGGGTAAGTTGTCTAAAAGAATTAAATTATTTTATTTTCTCTTTCTTACAAAGATTGAATTAAAGTACGATAATACTTCTACATTATTATATATATTCTATATTTCTTAAACCAAAATATTTTTGTGTGCTGAACCTTATTCATACATTTACAAAATCACTTGCTGAATATATTTTACAAATAAAGATAAAATAACCACAAAATTTAAGGTAGATAGATACAGTGTTATTTCTCAAAGAGTAGCAAATTTTTTTTAAACCTTGGTTTCAAATATATAATTAATGATATACCGTTATTGCAGTTTTTGAATAAACAGGAGTAGTGCAAGGCTCCTACTTATATTTGAAATTATCCTAAATTGAATATTATTTATGGGCAACAACGTTTTTGCCTACCGATCATCATCATCATCATCATCATTACAGCCCTTCACAAGTCCACTGCTGAACATAGGCCTCCCCCAAGTAATGTCACAAAGCACGGTCCTGAGCCACCTGCATCCATCGACTTCCTGCATATCTTACCAGGTCGTCACTCCATCTAGTGGGGGGTCGCCCTACACTACGCCTTCCGGTACGAGACTGCCACTCGAGAACCTTTCTTCCCCATCGGTTATCGGTTTCGAGCTATATGGCCGGCCCATTGCCACTTCAGCTTACTAATCCGTTGGGCTATGTCGGTCACTCTGGTTTTACTGCGGATATCCTCATTTCTGAGTCTATCACGCAGAGAAACTCCGAGCGTAGCCCTCTCCATCGCTCGCTGAGCGTCCTCATATGGCCAGCAGTAAAGGACCACGTCTTGGTTCCGTAGGTCATCATTGGCAACACGCACTGGTTGTACAACTTAGTTTTCAGGTTTTGAGATATACCTGACGAGAAGATGTGTCGTAATTTCCCGAACGCTGCCCTGCCGAGTTGAATCCGTCGATTGACCTCTCGGTCGAAGTTAGGGACTATTTGTCCCAGGTAAACATACTCGTCAACAACTTCGAGCATAGTGCTCCCAACAACTACCGGCATAGGTGTGACATGGACATTAAACATGATCTTTGTTTTGTCCATGTTCATCTTAAGACCTATCCGTTGGGAGACACCATTGAGATCATTGAGCATAGTGCTTAGGTCCTCCAGAGATTCTGCCATAAGGACTATATCGTCGGCAAATCGAAGGTGAGTGATGTACTCGCCATTGATATTAATACCGTATCCTTTCCAGTCCAGTAGCTTGAAAACGTTTTCCAATGCAGCAGTGAAGAGTTTCGGGGATATAACGTCACCCTGTCTTACACCTCTCTGCAGTTGGATAGGTTTCGAACTCTGGTTCTGTACTCGGATAGCCATCGTAGCCCTACTGTACAAACACTTCAGCACTTCGATATACCGACAGTCAACTTGGCACCGCTGAAGGAACTGTAGCACCGCTCAAATTTTGAAGGAATCAAAGGCTTTCTCATAGTCCACATACTACAGGCAAAGTGATAGATTGTACTCTTCGGTCTTCTGTACAATCTGCCGCAGGTTATGTATGTGGTCTATGGTATTGAAGCCTTTTCGGAAACCGGCTTGTTCGGAAGGCTGGAAGTCATCGAGTCTGCGTGCGAGATGATTCGTAATGACTCTCGAAAACAGCACGTAGACGCGGCTCAGAAAGGAAATCGGTCTGTAGTTCTTCAAGAGAGCGTTGTCGCCTTTCTTAAAGAACAAGACTACCGCACTTCTGCTCCACGCCTCCGGAGTAGTGACACCATAGAAGACGGAATTGAAGAGCTTCTGAAGGACTTCAAGTACCTGTGTTTCACCCGCTTTCAGAAGCTCCGCTGTAATTCCATCCTCGCCTGGGGTCCTGTCGTTTTTAAGTCTGGAAGCCATTCTAATCTCCTCACTACATCCGGGATATCATCGGAATAGTGTCGGATAAGACTTGCTCTTGGATCGTTACTCACACTTGCGTGTGGCTCCAACGATGATGTGTACAGCTGCCCATAGAACCTCTCAATCTCACTCGAAATCTCAGGTGTCCCGGAAACAATGCTGCCACACTCAGTCTTCAGCTTTGACAGTTGGCTCTTTCTGGCAGACAGATCTCTGGCAAAGACTTTGGAGCCCTGGTTCCGCTCGATCGCTTCTTTAATACGAGCAGTATTAAAGTTGCGAAAGTCTCGCCGCATGCATTTGGAGATCTGTCTGTTCAGTTGCCTGTATGCTGTCAAATCTGTTGACGATTGCAGCCTCACCTCCCGTCTAACAGCCATGAGATTAAGAGTGTGATCGGAGAGTTTTTGTGTTCTTCTGCGGCGGGTCTTGCAGAACTTAGCTCCGACCGCATGGACAGTTTCCACGAGCTTGTCATTCATATCGTCCACTGCATTGCAATCTTCTAGGCACTGAAAGCGGTTACGTAACTCGAGCTGAAAGGTTTCGGGACTCTGGATTAGAGCACGAGGGGGGACGGAGCGTTGACTTCATTAGACGAGACCTCTCCAACTTAACGTTTAGGTTCAGTGTGCCTCTAACCATTCGGTGATCGCTGCCAGTTTTCACCCTTGCGAACACTGAACAGTTGGCGTCTGGTTGTCATAACGAAGTCAATCTCGTTTTTTGTCCAACCGTTGGGGCTCGACCAGGTTCACTTTCTGTGGGGCCGCTTCTAGAAGAAAGAGTTCATCATAAAAAGTCCCTCTTTTTCCATGAAGTCGACCAGCTGCTGGCCCCTTGGGTTCCGTTGCCCTATCCCAAATTTCCCTACCATCAGCTCACCATTCTTTCTTGTGCCCAGTTTAGCGTTGAAGTCTCCCATTAACACAGTATAGTGAGTTTTAAAGGAATGCATGGCTCTAGAAATGTCCTCATACATTTCCTCCACCTCCTCATCGGGATGTTCCGACGTTAACGCGTAAACCTGTATGACCTTCAGCGAATACCGTTTGATGATTCTGAGTATAAAGTACGTCGTCGATACACTCTCCAATCTTTAAAATGTTGTTAACGAGAGACTTGTGGACGATAAATCCGACAACTCCTTGGGACAGATGGTCGCCCTCCCGGTGATGGAACAAGTTGTCGGATTCGAGAATCACCGTGTCCTCCCCCTCTCTTCGGACTTCGGATAATCCTACAATATTCCAGCGCAATTTGTATATCTCTTCTTCCAGCTCCAGGATCTTCTCGTCAGTCCGCAGGGTGCGTGCGTTAAATGTTGCCAGGTCGAGTCGTCGTAGGTGGCAAAACCACCGGAGATTCTTAGCACCCCCTGCCTCGCCATTACCATGGTGGCCACCATAGCCAGAAATAGCGAGGCCGCCGGGGACTGGGGACCGTCTATTTATGTCGTTGCTCACGGGGGGCATATTGCCATAATTGCCATTTTTGGCGAGCGGGTTGGCAACCGCAGGTTTTTTTGTTGTACAGTTGCTGTTATCAAGAAAATGCTGCTGCCCATCTCCTGCCCGTTTCCCTCTGTCGCCTTTTACGACACCCACGGGAAGATATGGGGTAGTGGATATTCTTAACCGCCACTACACGGCCTACCGATCAACCCTTACGAATGTGTGCGTCCGCAGTAAATTCAGTTAAAATGAAGCATTTCCACGCATTTTGAAATTAATGTTTTTTGAATTTAAAAGATAAAAACGACAGAATGTTTAAGATTTTTTAATTTAATTTTTCTTCACCATTTGCATATATTACTAATTTTGAACTTTCTCTTCAAATTTGGCCGGTTATCGCAAAATAACCCTGTATAAGTCTCTTCTTATTTTTGAGGGGGTATATGGGAGGAGGAAGTGTCCGCCGAGCTGTCTCAGTGTGTGCAGGCGGATCTCACATTTCTTCAATGTTTTTAATTTCTCAGACATTCAGGTTTTCCTCACGTTTTTCTTCACTGCCGAGCATGTGGTAAAACAGCATTTGGGGCAACAGACATTGGGATTTTCCTGTAAAAATTATAATAAGTATTTATTCTATTATACTATTTATTCTATTATATGATTTATAGGCTAGTTGCAACATTGAAAATTACGTGCCTTTGGAATTAGCATTATATGCTACATGCGTCGACACGGGGGCTTTTCAAAACAAGACATTATACATGGAATGTCCTGTTAGGGAGACTCAAACAGACCACATTGTTGTTACAAATCCGTAAGTATATTAATGTTGTATAACTGTAAAATCTAGCTTTTGGCTATTAAACATCTGATTTTGCTATTTACTATTTTATATATAATTACATATCATATGTAACTTTTTACTTTATTTTTAAACGTTACCTACTCACTGGGAATTTGTCCTATATTATAGGTGCAATTTACAACATTATTTACGGATTCATTAATTTCACGGAACAATTATTTGTAGGCTATACAAATACTTGTTCTGCGAGATTCGAACCCGCTGCCTTTAACGCTCCAATAGAACCCTCAAATGTATGCAGCCTATGTATATGTAGCCTTTATGTATAGTTAAAATATACCAACGTCCAGAACTACGACGGCTATTTGTTAATTTTATTGTCACCAAATTAATATTTTTACTTTGTATGTATTATGAGCCGTGGTATCTGTAATAAAAGCTATATAGCATATGACGCTATTAAATACGCTATGTTATAGCGGCCGGTAAGCGCGTTAAGTTTTACAGCACGTTATATCTCTTAACACGTTTTACATGTCGTTCATTGGATAGATCGCGTGCTATATAAGAACATTATTTCTTAATAAGTGGCATTTTAGACTAAAATAAAATAAAGCGTTTTCATACTTTTCAGGCTTACTAATTTCTATAATCCTAAAAATATTTTTAAGTAATGTACTATTTAAAATAGAATTAATTTTATTTTTAGAATCGAAATAAAATTAATTATTTTATATTATAATTGATGTAAACATTTTTAACCTTAATATAAATTATAAATCAAATAAAATTGTATTTAAAAGTTTATTTATTGTATTTATAAAAATCAATTATTTACATACACTATTGTATCTAATGCGGTCCTTAAGGAGTATGTTAGGGCTGAATCTGAACGACAGGGTAAGAAATTGTGTAATAAGAGAAGAGTGTGGTTTGCAAGATGATGTTGTGACCAAGATTAAGAAAGGAATTCTTCGGTGGTTTGGCTATGTGGAAGGAATGAATGAGGAAAGAGTGACAAAAGAAAATTATGTTGCAGAAGTGAATGGCAGAGTCGGAAAGGGACGTCCTAGGCCAAAACTTATCGAACAAATTGGCGATTTATTGAAAACGGGCCAAATTAGGACTACCCTTAACCGACGAGCATGTATGCGTAGGTGTATGGATGTGAAGGAGGTGAGAGAGGTGTGTCAGGATCGTGCCAAATGTAAGTCTGTAGTCTCTGCCTACCCCTCTGGGTGACAAGCGTGAGTGTTTATGTTATGTTATGTTACTATTGTATCTATATTTTATTTACATTTAAAAACATTAGTTAGGCTTCTTTTATCACAACTGTGTCCTTTGATCATTTATAAATATACAGTATACACTAACTAAACAACGTCTAACATTAAATTAGGTCGCGCGCGATGAATAGCGCGCTACGAGATCAAATTTGCGTACATTCTGTTAAAAAAAAAACACACGTCCCCTCCCAACGGCGCTGCTGCTAGAACTAATTGCCGCTAGATATTAATACTTGATAGCGCCAAAGCGCCATAGCACAATAGTGTCATGGCGACTACTTACATAACACGCGCTATGTGTTATGAAGAGATAGCGCGCTATAATATGGCGCTGTGCGCTATATTAACCAACATTACTGCTGTGCACTGATCAATGAATAAATTAATTTCAATTTTTTTTATATTTTAATAAGAGTAGCCGTACATATTCGTAAATTACATTTGCCTTACAATTTATTTTTACTTCTGAATAAATAAATAGATGATAGAATTAAAGTAGGTTACTTATAATCTTAAAAAAATTACAAAAATAAAAAAGTATAGATAAGACCTATATACGCCCCACTGCATATCGCAGGTCTCCTGTCATTTATGAGAGATAAATTAATTAATTATAATAAGTAAATGATCTACAGAACGGACGAAATGTGGCTGGTGCTATCAGAAGTTTCAGGGGAATCGTTTGAAACGCTCAAAGAGTTTAACATAGAAGCAAATACAACATTCGAAATACCTATACATTTCAAACCAAAATCGTTTGGGAAGCATGAGGTATAGTAAAAACTGTAACATTTTAGTTTATTAAATCCTATAGGCATTTTATCCAACATTTGAATTTTGCATGTGTTGACAGCATACAAAATACAAACTATCTCACCTTGTAACCATTTTAATGTCGTTCTGACCTGTTTTGCGCATTACGCCATTTTTTTAATTCAAATTAAAAAAGCAATAAAGTATCAAGTGCGCGCGTGATTTTAGTGCCACGAGCATATTCGAAAATATAAGGGCACTTACTACCCGTGCGGTTAAAGACTGGGATTGAAAACGGCAGCACCAATGTACACTTCTCGCTCGCACACTGTCGCTATCTATACCCACACCCGCGGTTAAAAAAAATACGTGGCGATATGCGTTTTTCGTCCATACTTCAGTGCAACTTGTTATTGGAATTAATAATAACAAAAATCCATAAACCACTAAAAAATCAGTTCGGTTTTGTTAATTTGTGAGCTACGACGCGTTCTGAGATTTCTTCATAATTTAATGATATTTAAATTTATTTTTGCCGTTGAGAAATAAGTGACCATTTTTAAAAATTTCGTTTGCCTGTTTGTCCGAGCTAATCTTCGGACTGTCGGAACCGATCGCAATAAAACTTGACGAGCGAATAGTGTAATACCAGGAGTGATTTAGACTACATTTTATCTGAAAATTTTTGAGATTTTATAAAATAGAAATATAGTTAAGATAAAATAAATGGACATTATGATTATCTTACGTTTAGATAACGCCACATTATTAGAAACCACCTAGGCAAAGCCGATTATAATTTTTAAAAAAAAAAATTCTCATTAATAGAAATTTTCCAATTAACCGAATACTATAACGTTATATCGTTATTAGCGGGTTTTCATTATTGGTACTGTACATGTTGACGGTACGGGCTCTATCAGCCGCTATATCTAATCCCATTCTTTATCCGTACGGGCTATACCTTACAACGTTGGCATGATATTTTTTTTATTGAAGAGGTTTTCACTCTTCGTAGGGAGGATTTACCGTTATCGTCACACTAGTCGGGCGGCATGAAGATCGCAGTACGAGTCTTTGCCCATCGCCAGCCTGGCTATTTTACGTCTGGCATAAACGGGATGGTGTACCGTCTATCTTACGAAAGTTGTCACATTCTTCTGGTATTTCCCAAGATCTTACGACATTCACGGTTTGAAATGGGGTGATTGACTGTTACACTGGTCATGTTTTGGCAGCGTATGCTCATTAAGATAATATTAGTATACTGTATGCACATTGAGAAACGAGAATCATAAATACAACTGGACAAGTAACTATTTGTATTTTCCGAAATGTTAACTGCGTCTTGAAAATCGCAACCAGGACATGCACCGTACCTACTAGCAGACAACTTTAGGCACTGAATATTTAAGAAAGGTTAAGTCCAAAAATGGATCATTAACATACTATTTTTATATAGGATAAGACGACAATCGAGCACACAGTTCACCTGATAGTAAGTGGTTGCTGTGGCCCATAGACACCACCTACATGTATCCTCGATTACGAATCAAAATACAGATGCATTGTCACCCGTGAGGACTAAGATGAAATGCCTCGTTTCCAGTAAAAAGGGTCTCTGGTTCTCTAAACTCACCATACGAAACATAGCAACGTTGAGCTGCTATTTCCCGACGGTATTCTGTGAGAGCGTGGTCCTTCCCCGGTCAAGCCTACCCACTCGTGTTACAACTATACTACTAATATAACCGCAGCATGGCTCCACTACGTAACAAAAATATTAACAATTGTAATAATATGTTGTAATATATTTTTGTATTTAACATCACAGGGTCAAGTACTATTCTCGCCTCTCGGAGAAAGCGCGCTTTTCATTAACGTCGTTGGTATTGCGACACGTCCCAACCCTAATGGAGACATAACATTAACCATAAAAGCAAAAGACCCGTATACGGAAGAACTATTGGTCTATAACATCACAGAGGTATTTATTTTAGATTTTTATCACGAAGGAACTTATCCGGATAATATTGTTGTAGCGACAAGTAAATCAGTCATTAATAAATGCAATTATGCATGAAACAAATGCTACTAAAGAAGACTGGCAACAATAAAATACTCAATCGTTAATTTAAAAAAAATTGTAAAAAAAAATAGTTTACAATTATTAATTTTACCTACCTATGAAATGATATAGCTCTCTGCCAGTATCAACCCTTTATACATTGCCCGAACGAATGAACGAAAATGTGATCTTCCAAATAAATATAGATAATTTCAGAAGAAATCCAAAATATTTTCGAAAATGACCTCAACTGCGATGCTAACTCGACTGCCGAGGTGCCGAGCGTGACGACTATGGCAAGTATCCCTTAGGTTGATATGGAGTACCGCCACTAATACATGGCAATTATAAAAAGAACAAAGGAATTACCCTAATATAATAAAAAAGTATTCTGCAAGTAGTTTTCAACGGTCCTAAGACGATAAGCTGTATTATGTCTGTGACCAAGACCTACGAGTACGTAGGTACACAAACTATTCATCAAAGACATTACAGTTTCCAGAATCGTACGTGGTATCGTCGGAAATTTTAAAAGTAGTTCCCGACACATTTGATGGATATTACGAAATTAAACATCCAGAGACCGTTAAAGTTTGGGGTGAAGCGACCGCCACATGTCGTTGGACTTTCGTCTGTTACGAAGAATGCGAAATGAACGTAAAGGTATACTTTTGTGATTTGTCATTTCAAATAATTTGATATGCTAAAGTATTAAAGAGAATAGAGCGTGGACAACTGGTGTACTTATGTCAATTAGACAGAAGTAATATTTTAATCGCTGAGAAAGAGTTCAGGCACAGTTAAAAGAGTCTTCTGTAAACTGTGTTTCAGGCGTGCGTGCGGTTTAGTGATGCGATAGGATTTTGGCCATCTCTATTATGTTTTAACTTTATTTCTTTTTTTATGATCGTAATTTTTTTTGCAAATTTAATAATTTTAGAAGATTCCTTGTTTAATTTAAAAAAATAAAAAATAAACGTGGCAATGCTAGTTATAGGTTGTATCGTAAAAAAATATTTGGCCGAGTCATTATCCTGGGAGAAAACAGAGGAATTCGTTGTATGGACTAAAACTCGCGTTGCTTGGATTCTTTTCTTACAACTTGTATTCAACTTTAGATCGTACATTTCAGAAATTTTAAAAAATATAATCAATCGCTAGAACTCTCAGAACATTATCGACTCTAACTTTTAACTTTCTCTTTTTTATTGCAGGTGAGATTCACAAACGAGAAGACGCGCGAGTACCAATTCTACAATATTGCAATACTGGTGACACCTAGCGGAATTATGGGAACATTAACATTCGAATCGCGGGCGCGAGAATCTGTTCAAAAAGAACTTTCCATTTCTAATCCCCTTGCTGAAGACACAGAGTTTAATATTCATTGTGAACATCTTGAGAGTCCTGATAAACTCATGATCAGCAGGAATTCAAAGGTTTTGTTTTTTTTTATGTTTTTTACAAAATATCTTAAACCCGTGGCAGCTTAGGGGATCTATAAATAACTAGGTTCAGTTAACACAAGGGCACTAACAGTACGTCTAATACTGTCTGAAAACTTGTCCTCATCTTCACAAGAAAAAGTATCCCCCTTGGGTTCACTGGCGTAATATTTGATACTTATGCAGTTGGCAGTGCGTGTTTGAATATGTGTGTGTTCTTTTCAAAATTGTCGCCCCTTTAATCTGCCACTCGGGGAAAGAAATTTTAATGACTATGCCCACATTAGTGACGTAAAAACCGAATACGAAAATACCAGGCAATCTTTGAAATACCAGAGCGCCAGTTCTAAAGTACAGTACAAAACCCATGAGAACCATATTATCTTATAACCTGAACCTTATGACTTAAAGATAGGGATAGCGATATAGTTTTTAGAACATAAAGTCCTTTAGGTACTGTGTAATAATGTATCGATATTTATTCTATTATCTGTCTGGGTCCACTGTTGGACGTAAGCTTTTTTCTAAGGCATTCCTATTGTTAGTAGTCAGTATATACCTACTCGTAGATTGTGTCTGTGTAGACTCCGGAAGAACAGAATACTTTATTTCCAGGCCACATTATCTATGACCTACTCACCTCTTGTGGTTGGAGTAACTGAAGAGTACCTAGAAGTGTCCAACCCGTTAGTTGGTACATATTTGTATAAAGTAATACTTAAATGCCTACCAGCTAAGGAAAAGAATCTAGAGTTTACAACGCCACTCGGAACATCCGTTCCTCTACGGCTGAGGGCGCATAATAAGACTGATACTAGAGCAGAGTTTACAGCTACGGTAAAAATTAATTTAACGTTATTTAATATTTTAATGTGTTAAGTGAGTCATTTTACACAGTTTTGGAAAAATATCGTTATAAGCTTATAATGCCGAGTCCAAACGCTTGGCAAACCTCAACAAGCCGTCACAAATTCAAATGTATATATAGTAACCGATTTGTCGAGTGTCCGTTTTTTGTCACAAATCAAACGGAATTTTTTTTTTTTTCCACACGTTTGTTAGCACTCAGTCTCGTTTAGTTGCACTGTTGGCGCAAATAATAACTTCATAATAACCTGGTACGGTTTTTATGAATTTTTAACATCCACCATCTTCATTGCCGTATTTTTCGTTTACTTTCGCTTGTTTTCTTGTATTTAATAATAAAAAGAACTTAAGCTAAATGTTATTACTGATACAACAACCTCGACGTCCATCAAGACTGCCTCTTCAGAATAAACTAACGCATTCGCAAGTGAGTTGATGGCGACGTTTGATTCGCAAAATCAAGCCAAACGTTTGTAGAGATTTGGAGTTTGCTTGGCACTGGCCAAGCGAGGTAACGCGTCATAAGAACTTTTGTTTGTACTACCAACACTCAATAACTGTACCGAAAAACCCTTGTAAACTTTAAACATAATATACTAATTTCACCACGTTGGGCAAACCGATTTGTAAGAACTTAACCGCGAGAACATCGCAGGTAATGTTAATCACAAATCTGATGATGTTCATCAGCCAATATTATAAAACATATATAATATTATAAAACATATTTTAATGTGCATATGATTTTTTAAATGCTCAAATATTCAGAAATAATTTACAGTTCAGCATACATGATTTGTTCATCAAAAGAACTCAGACCGATACCATTAAAAAAACCTTGTTCATTAGTTAGAAGAGAACAATCTTATTACAACCCAATATATGTACTAAATAAACAAAATATCCCCAAATAAACCCTCTCAGAAATGAGTGTAGGCCTGTGCCCAGGGGTGGGTCGTAGTAGGCTGTAACTTTAACTTTAAGTAACATTGAATAAGCATTAATATTTGTACTTTTTTTACTACTATTTCCTTGATGATTTGACAGGTTTCACATCCATCAATAATAGTTGAAAAAGAATACGCATTGGATCCCTTCGAAAAAGGTAAATTTCAAGCTTGGTTCGAGCCAACTGAAATTGGACGCCAAGTTTGTAGAGTTTCTTTAAAGTCAGCGATCGCTGGAGAGTTTGTGTAAGTAGTATTTAAAAACGTATAGTGATTATGAAAACTAGATTGTACAACCAGTGCGTGTTGCCAGTACGGATCTGAGACGTGGTCCTTCACTGCTGGCCGTATGAGGACGCTCAAGGTCGCTCAAGGTCGCTCAGCGAGCTATGGAGAGGGCTATGCTCGGAGTTTCTCTGCGTGATAGACTCAGAAATGAAGAATCCGCAGTAAAACCAGAGTGAACGACATAGTCCAACAGATTAGTAAGCTGAAGTGGAAATAGGCCGGGCATATAGCTCGAAGAACCGATAACCAATGGGGAAGAAAGGTTCTCGAGTGGCAGTCTCGTACCGGTAGGCGTAGTGTAGGGCGTCACAGGCGTAGTGTATCCCTCACTAGATGGAGTGACGACCTGGTAAGATATGCAGGAAGTCGATGGATGCAGGTGGCTCAGGACCGTGCTTTGTGGCATTACTTGGGGGAGGCCTATGTTCAGCAGTAGACTTGTGAAGGGCTGTAATGATGATGATGATGATGATGATGAGTGATTATGAAATAATAATATTATTCCAAATGTTCTTAAAATTATATTTTCTTACATACAAAAGTTTATTATGGAATTCTTGATACCGTGGATATTCCTATACCGTCGGTTTACCCATTCGAATTTAAAAGGCTACAATTTCCCAATTAAGGTCTGTTTCACAACGAAGATTAATAAGTGTCAGGGTAAGTAACTGAAATCAGCAGGAATTAATCTTAGGGAGAGCTGCTTCCCGCACGGTCTGTTTTGCGTGGCCTACTCGAGAGTGAGCTCACCTAGCAGCCTGGTCTGTAGTAAATAGAGGGACACTTTAAGTATAAACTCCAAAAATAAATAATCCTGACCCACTATGACTAACAACATAAGTAATTTTGCCATAAGTGTACGGATAATGATTTCTTAAATTTATGCGAACACTACACATTGAATAAAACTATTATTTACGGATTTTATCGCGTTTAATTACTTTAATTTATTTTTATTTTTATTATTATCCCGACGTTTCGGGTGCTTTACAGCACCCATGGTCACGGGGGGGGGGGGACTAAGATGTTTGACGTCCCAATGTCATAGTTAGTCCGGCTACCTTCAGTTTTTTTAATATAATCGGTACCGATTTACGCAATTTTTGTTAATTAAAAAAACTGAAGGTAGCCGGACTAACTATGACATTGGGACGTCAAACATCTCAGTCCCCCCCCGTGACCATGGGTGCTGTAAAGCACCCGAAACGTCGGGATAATAATAAAAATAAATTAAAGTAATTAAACGCGATAAAATCCGTAATAATAGTTATTGCAAAAAGTGTACGGATTTCAAAATTGACAAATTGGCAATGCAAAAAAACGACAGCTCGCGAACGCAATCAATTCGTCAGCGAGGTCGTGTTGGTGCTCCTATAACGTTTTTGCACCAATGATTCGGTGCCATTTTGCTTGTCCATACACGTCCATATTATATGTAGTCCATAATATAATAAGTCTGTCTGGGTACACGAAACAGGGGTAGACTGTGTCCAGTACCTAATATCACACACGGTACGGTACATCTATCCTAAAAAAAAGTATAATTCTTTAGGGAGCAACTACTAAACAAAATTACCGGGAATTTCCAATTACAAAATTGAAAAGTTAATATGTCAGCATTAAGTATAACTATGTGCGGACTAGAATGTTAAAGCTCAGTGTCATGGGAACAGAAACGACTCAAGTATAAACAAACACAATAAGCTACATTGTTACGAAATAGGAGCTTAGCCGTTTAATCGTAAAAACTCATTATTAGTGATCGATGTAAAAACTGCATTTCTTATAGGTATACCTAATATTTTTTAAACGGCACTTTTATGTCTGACTAGTTATTTTTTAACCCATAAATTAACGCCAAATTGTTTTTAAAGTTACAATATACAAGGAATAGCTACAGAACCGAAACCCCAAGGGCCTTACGAAGTGAAAAGTGGGGGATCCACGACGATAAGATTTAAGAATGTATTTGAGGGCGATAGAGTATTTAAACTAAGTGTGGACCGAAAGGAATTCTATGTGAAATCTTCGTATGAATCACTGAAACCAAAAAAGGTATGAAAAGTGATTTTAAATATGTATTTTTATTTCCAGTTTTTTAAATTCCTTTTATAGTTTCATATAAAAAATCTAACAAATTCCTAGCGCTGTGTAAGGTATAATAAGGCCTACGGGAGAGGGTAAAGAATATAAACACACTGACTTGCAAACAATATTTCATTTTCTTTAACATACGTCAAAATCTTCTGTCGATAGAAATTCCTAGAAGTGGATACTCCATCAATACATGCGCCTATGATCCATGTTTCTATTGGTTTTTAGATACTCGTTATCTCTATTCTTTAGTGTCGTTAAACATTTTAAATTACAGCTTATGTACGTCCCACTACTCGGCACACACAGACCTCTCATTTATGAAAAGGTTACGGAGCAACTAGGCCGCTGCGCTTTTATAGTGCGTGTTGGCGAACCTCACACATCTTATATATATTATTATATCTCAGACATGGTTTTCTCACGATATTTTGCCTTCACTGCTGAGCACGTGATAAATCAACACTTAAAATTGCATTAATAGTTGCTCGCGTACTGTGAACAGCGAGCGATAAGCTCCTAAGGCTACCACGGCTCTACTTCATCCCCGAGCACGAACGTAGTAAATCAGTTATTATTAACATTTTCTTTAAAGTCAGCAGAAATCGAACACAGGTTGCATGCGTTCTGCGATCGCTCCCTTCAAGCTTTTGGGTTGTATGGAACAGACATCCCTTATTACACAGCAAGCCCTATTAAATTCACTACACCGAACATAAACTGATTACGAAATAAAATTTACATTTTTGCGTTCTTATGTGTATAGGCAACTAATTATGAAAAAATATGAATATTCGCACTATTTGTGCGGACTTAAAATTCATGAAGTCAATAACGTGCCAATGACGTCAAAAAAAGTTTATGATCACTAGCAAAAGCTAATATTATTTTTAAATTTAACTTTTTCAAAAAAAGTTTTTATGTTACATATTTTTTTAAATAGACATACGTTGTTTGAAATTAAAAAACAAAACTCTTTTTTTATATTTAAATAACAAAAATCGCGTAATTCAATCCTAATGTAATTGTAACAGAAGAAAAAGATTGTTTAACCAAACTTATACAACAATTTATTAATAGGTTTTCATTAATATTATAAGAAAAACTTAAAGAAAAATCCTATCTCTGCCTACCCCTCTGGGTACAGGCGGAGTGTATGTATTAATACAATGTAACTCCTTCGCTGGCTCAAAGACATGTGGAGATCCTACTGGGCATGCTGAGGATCAAGTTATCCAGCATTTCTTGCGTTCACCTGACCCATGCGTGCTCTATTGGGTTTAAATTAGGCGAGCCGGCAGGCCAGTTTAACCTTGTGATGTCGTATTCTCGGAGAGCAGCATTGACTCCTTGAGCTCGATGTGGGGGTGCATTTTCATCGACCAGTACGAATTGGTGCTCATGGTTTACTCGAAATGGTCAGACAATTCCATCAATAGTGACTGTTTTGTACTTATCTGTCGTCATGGAGCCTCGATACGGGATCAAAAGCGTTCTTCTAGCTCCAATCATAATTCCACCCTAAAAGTACTTCCTTTTTTTTACTGCGGATATCCTCATTTCTAAGTTTATCACGCAGAGAAACCCAGAGCATACCTCTCCATAGCTCGCTGAGCGACTTTGAGCGTCCTCATACGGCCAGCAGTGAAGGACCACGTCTCAGTTCCATAGGTCATCACTGGCAACACGCACTGGTTGTATAGTCTCGTTTTCAGGTTTTGAGGTATAGCTGACGAGAAGATGTGTCGTAAGTTGCCGAACGCTGCCCAACCGAGTTGAATCCGTCGATTGAACTCTCGGTCGAAGTTGAACTTACCTAGTCGGACTACTTGTCCCAGGTAAACGTACTGTACTCGTCAACAACTTCGAGCTTAGCGCTCCCAACAACTACCGGCATAGGTTTGACATGGACATTAAACATGATCTTTGTTTTATCCATGTTCATCTTAAGACCTAACCGTTGGGAGACACTATTGAGGTCATTGAGCATAGTGCTTAGATTCTCCAGCGATTTTGCCATACAGACTATATCTTCGGCAAATCGCAGGTGAGTGATGTACTCGCCATTTACATTTACACCTCTCTACAGTTGGATAGGTTTCGTACTCTGGTTCTGTACTCGGATAATCATCGTAGCCCTACTGTACAAACACTTCAGCACTTCGATATACCGACAGTCAACTTGGCACTGCTGAAGGTACTGTAGCACCGCCCAAATTTCGACGGAATCAAAGGCTTTCTCATAGTCCACATACGCCAGGCAAAGTGGCAGATTGTACTCTACGGACTTCTGTACAATTTGCCGAAGGGTATGTATGTGGTCTATGGTGCTAAAGCCTTTTCGGAAATCGGCTTGTTTGGCAGGCTAGAAGTCGTCGAGTCTGCGTGCGAGACGATTCGTAATGACTCTCGAGAACAGCAGGTAGACGCGGCTTAGAAAGGATATTGATCTGTAGTTATTCATGAGAGCGTTGTGAACTTTCTTGAAGAAAAAGACCACCGCACTTCTGCTCCACGCCTCGGGAGTAGTGCCACCATGGAGGACGGAATTAAAGAGCCTCTCCACCCGCTTTCAGAAGCTCCACTGTAATTCCATCCTCGACCGGGGACTTGCCGTTTTTAAGATGCTGGAGAGCCATTCTAATCTCGCTCAGACTGACGTCCGGGATATCATCGGAATAGTATCGGATAAGACTTGCTCTTGGATCGCTACTCACACTTGCGTGTGGCTCAAGGCGATGATGTGTACAGCTGCCCATAGAACCTCTCAATCTCACTCAAAATCTCAGGTGTCCCGGAAACGATGCTGCCACACTTGGTCTTCAGCTTCGACAGTTGGTTCTTTCTGATAGACAGATCCCTGGCAAAGACTTTGGAGCCTTTGTTCCGCTCGATCCCTTCTTCAATACGAGCTGTACTGAAGTTGCGTAAGTCCCGCCGCATGTATCTGGAGATCTGTCAGTTCAATTGCCTATATGTTACCTAATCAGCTGAAGACTGCAGCTTTGTTTCCCGTCTAACAGCCATGAGATTAAGATTGTGATTGTAGAGATTTGTGTTCTTCTGCGGCAGGTCTTGCAGAACTTAACTCCGACAGCATGGACAGTTTCCACGAGCTTGTAATTCATATCGTCCACTGCATTGCAATCTTTTAGGCACTGAAAACGGTTTTGTAACTCGAGCTGGAAGGTTTCGGGATTCTGGATTAGAGCAAGGGGGACAGAGCGTTGACTTCATTAGACTAGAGCTCTCCAACTTAAGGTTTAGGTTCAGTGTGCCTCTAACCATTCGGTGATAGCTGCCAGTTTTCACCCTCGCGATCACAGAGACATCACTGAACAGTTGGCGTCTGGTCATCATAATGAAGTCAATCTCATTTTTTGTCGAACCATCGGGGCTCGACCAGGTCCACTTCCTGTGGGGCCGCTTCTGGAAGAAAGAGTTCATCATAAAGTCCCTCTTTCTTCATGAAGTTGGCCAGCTGCTAACCCCTTGGGTTCCGTTGCCCTATCCTAAATTTGCCTAACTGCAGCTCACCGTTTTCTCTTGTTTTTTTTTATAGGAGCGATAAGCTCCTAAGGCTACCACGGCTCTACTTCATCGATAGGGTGACAAACGAGCACACAGTCCTCCTGATGGTAAGTGGTTGCTGCGGTCCATAGACATCTACATCTATCATCGATTACAAATCAAAATGCAGATGCGTTGCGTGAGGTCTAAGATGGAAAGCTCATTTCCAGTAAAAAGGGTCTCAGGTTCTCTACACTCACCATACGAAACTCAGCAGCATTAAGCTACTATTTTACGCTGGTATTCTGTAAGAGCGTGGTCCTTCCTCCGTCCGACCCGTTCGTGCTACAACTATACTACTTATATAACTTCAGCAGCTATGCCATCTACCTACCACGTATAAGAATCTTGTCCCTAGTTTTGCTTTGAAGTTTCCTATCAACACCGTATAGTGGGTTTTAAAGGATTGCATGGCTCTAGAGATATCCTCACACATTTCCTCCACCTCCTCATCGGGATGTGCCGAGGTTGGTGCGTAAACCTGTATGACCTTCGGCGAATACCGTTTGGTGATTCTGAGTATCAGATACGCGACACTCGTCAACACACTTTCAATCTTTACAACGTTGTTGAGAGACTTGCGGACGATAAATCCGATACCTCCTTGAGACAGATGGTCGCCCTCCCGGTGATAGAACAAGTTGCCGGATTCTAGGATTACTGTGTCCTCCCCCTCTCTGCGGACCTCGGATAATCCTATTACATGCCAGTGCAACTTGTCTACCTCTTCTTCCAGTTCCTGTATCTTCTCTTCAGTCCTCAGGGTGCATGCGTTATATGTTGCCAGGTTGAGTCGTTGTAGGTGGCAACCGAAACTCCACCGGATATTCTTAGCACCCCCTGCCTCGCCGTTACCATGGTCGCCACCGTAGCCAGGAATAGCGGGGCCGCCGGTGACTGGGGACCGTTTGTTTGTGTCGTTCCTCATGGGGGTATATTGCCATAGTTGCCACGCTTGGCGAGCGGGTTGGCAACCGCAGTTCTTTATTGTATTGTTGTTGTTATCAGGAAGATGCTGCTGACCATCTCCTGCCTGCCTCCCTTGTCGCTTCTTACGAAACCCACTGGAAGATATGGGGCAGTGGATATTCTCAGCCACCACTACAGGGGAAACAGATGAGTACTGATCAACGGAGACAATTACTGCCAAATGTAACTTCGTCATCTTCTATATATTTATATGGGATTACAAAGTTATTTATGCAGTTAGTGTATCTAAAAACCTGGACAGAAATTAACAAATGTTTTACTTTTTCCTTGATTTATACACTAAACACTAATTATAATCTAAATTTGAAGCTTCTATGTGGTCACCTGCTAGCAATGCCTTAGAAGTTTTGATGATCGGTCAGTCAGTGAGTGACAAAATTATAGAAATTTCATGACTGGTTACAATTAGGCTCAAACTACCGGTTTAAATTGAATGGGTAAAATTTGAAATATACCATGTTTATACAATGCTTACTCGGTTACTGAAAATTCAGGCTTCTAGTTTTAATTGACCATGAGGTTATAAGGGGTCGAAAATGGCCTGAATTGCTTCGAGAAAAGATGGTACGGCCGTGCCGCTTTAATTTGCTATCAAACTGATCGAACAAGCGAAACGAACGAAGAGTACTTATATACATACTCGGTGAGGCAAGAAAGACAAAGAAGACATACTCAAGCATCACGCTTGCACTCATTGCATGTTGGGCTTGCAAACTCGTACATCCGCAACTATTGTAATGTATGTAGAAAGCGTACAAATAATCAGTGTGGTCGGATACACAAGATTAGTATGGGGCGCATAGCCTGCCTTGCGTAGAAAATTTCGTAGGTATAATGATGCTATGTAAAGAGGGCTATGCAAATACAAAACGGTAGCACTGCGTCGGTGGCAATATTTGTAACTATTTTTATTTCTGGTTTGAATAAATAGTTAAATAATTACTAAAGTACAGCTGATGTTTAACTTAAGTGGAATTTTAGTAATGATTTCTTATATTTACGCGAACACTACACATTGAAATAATACTAGTTTTTACGGAATTTATCGCGTATATTTAACTTTTTAAATACCCGACGTTTCGAACGCTTTACAACACTCATGGTCACGGGCGGGACTGAGATGTTCAACGTCCATATGTCATAGTTAACCGGAATTTTAGTAATTTTGCGTGTTTAATAAAATATGCACAATTTTTAATCGACGAAAAAAGATTAAATTTTAAATTTTTACAAAAACAGCCATTTATTCGTCTTTGTTCAATGACATCGATTATGCAACCCTGAGTTTCTTGAATTCTAAAGAAAATAGATGAGATAAATCTTGTCACAGGGCCCTTTTAAGTTTGTTGATATTTTTATTTATTAAGTCTTTTTTAGAAGCATCCCCAAGTGTGTTAATATTTATTATCTTATTTCGCTGGCCTTACGTGTACTAGTTAGTATTTACTTGTTACTTTAGTACTTATTTGTTAATTTAGAACTTCATGAACAATATCCCACCTACCTATATAGTATTCACTGATTTGTTCCTTTACACCTTTGGTTGCCTGGAAGAGATCGCTATGTAGCGATCAGGCCGTCAAATTGCACATGTAATCTGCTCTTTATGTTCTTTGTAAATTTGTTTGTGGTGTACAATAAAGTATATTCATTCATTCATCCCACCCAATTTTTGAGTTCGCCGAGTTTAGCCGTGTTTATTTTAAGGTCTTTTTTATGCTTATAATATTTAAAGCTTCATGATCTTAATTACAGCGTATTACAATGCTTACGCGTCTCATCTAAATCGTCGTCACATAAATCTAAAATTAATTTACAGGATCTAAAGGTTGCAGTTTATTTAAATGAGAGACCAGCCAAAGGATGGAAGGAAATCCCAACGGGATGTCTGACCATAGAATGCCATGAACCTGCAGAACCAAATGTGCAGTGGACTTATTTCCTAAAAGGCATTCTATAAATACTTACTTTTTTATAAAATATATCTTATATAATTGTTATAATTTTAATAAATGCTATAAGGTTTGGTTCTTTTTTTAATAAGGAAAACGAATAAGAATTTTTAAGTTTTTATTACCAATCGCTGACACTAAAATCTTTTACTATATCTTGCTTATCACCTATATCCTCTTCTTGTTCCATCTTCTTAATATTTGCTTTGCTTTTGTTTTTCTTTTTCTTCTTTAACTTCTTCTCCTTTGGTTTAGGTTTATCTTCTTCCTCAGTTATTTTAAAGTCCCCAGTTTCATCTTCACTATCAGATGGAAACAAGACCATTGGACCTGCGTTTTCCTGCTTTGCCTTTGTTTTTATTTCATTAGCGTCGGGTATTTTTGGTCTTTTAATCATTGGTAATTCTCCAGCAATTTCGTCATTTTTAGAGACCTTTTTACGTTTTTGTATCTTATTGATTTTATACCAATTCTCGAAGAATGTATATAGAGGAGTTCCTTTAGCTTTAATATTTGATTCCCAAGCTGCTACCATCTTCTCGTCACTAAGCGCGAAGCTTACTTTAGCTCGTTCACGCTCAATAAACTTCGAATTTTCTTCGATTTTCTCCATCAATTGCCGCATTTTTTTTGTATAATTTGATACCGTACATGTCTTTAGAAACTGTTTTATCTGTAAACAATAACAATCAACATTTAACGTCAACAATGGCAAATCCTAATCTAAATAATCTGTGGAATATAATAATCAGTAATGAACATGGACCTGCCATGCATATTAGTCGGCTGTTTACAGGCTGGAGCGGAAACAGCAATAAGTCAGGTTTAGTAACAATGCAAACACGTCTTAAAGATGTCATTCCGGCCTACTATACTTCTACAGCTGGACACAGTTCAATCTAGTCATTAATAATAATTATGTCAATCATTTTTTTGGAAACTATCCAGCATTATTAATAGCCTTTTAAAAATGAAAGGAGACCCATTTTGCCATCCAGACCACCTGGATGCTTGGCAGTCCACTACGTGCGATTTACTAGTTTTCTTCCTCACACGACTACTTTGTAGAATCTTTTACCACCGGCGATTTTTCTGGACCGATAACACTTAAGAAGAAATGAGCTTACTCTTTTTAAAACGCCAGCCACCTGAACCTGAAATTTTCCTGGTGTTGCAGTAGTTCATGGGCGGTGGTCGACACTTACCATCAGGTGATCCGCATGCTCGTTTGCCTTCTCTTCTATAAAAAAGACCGTATATGATTTTTGTATGAGGTCATCATTACAGCTGTTTAAAAGTCCGCAGCTGAACATAGGTTTCCTCCAAGGAATTGAAAGGGTTGTGTCGGGTATACTCATCAATTTATGCATATTTATTTCTCTCGCATGCATAATCATACTCCCGTTTCAAAAAATATTTTACCAGATTTTCTGAAACTGGTATTGGGTGTAAGTAAACTCAATAATGATACCATACCTGTAAAACGGCAAGCAGGCTGATGTCTGGAAAAGCAATGTTGTGCGCTTCATTCGCAGTATACTCTAACAGAAGTGCATATAATCTCTCTATGACAGAATCCTTAAAACCATTCTCGGATAATTGTGACTTCGCCAGTCTGAGCACGCATGAGAAGTCTAACGGCTTCATCGACACCTTTTTGTGTTTCTTATTGAAGTCATATGTTGTCAAGACCTGAAATTCACAACAGAATGAACTACAACTTTTGCCTTTATTTTATAGCAGTTCCCACCAGAATTCCGATTTGCGTGAGCACCGAGGGACCACGGTGGAAATTCGGGAAATAAATAACCAAAAATATAGTAGCGGAGCTTTAAACAACTGTAGAACAAATTTTGGAATTAGTAAAAAAATTTATAAAAATCTTACTTTGATGACTTTAAAGTGGGGTCCCTCAGTTCTCACAGACTATCGATCAAATCTCGGGAGTGTCCTTTAAATGAATAATTTTTATATCTGGATTTTACAACAGCGCCACCTGCCGGTACTAACTATGGCTATAACCTTCGCACAAATGCAAGGAATATGGTGACAAAGTTTTACCGCAATCCGATAAACCGTATGGCAGCGCATAAAATACGAACAAACAAATATAAATTTTTTCATATTAAGATACTAGCTTGCCAGGCAGACGTTGTTCTGCCCTTTTCGAAGACCCTTTGTCATGTCTTATTAAAAATACTTAAATGCGCAAAACAAATTGTGGGTCATAGGCAAAAAAAAACTATCCTATCTCTCAAGTTGGACCATACTACACACGGTGTGCAAATGTTAAGTAGTTTAGTTCATCGCCGACAAACAACGTGACACGTAATTTATATATATTAAGATTGATTACTTTCTAAATGTTATCAATTTTTTTATATAAAGCTTACTTTCTAAATATTAAGTTAAAGATAAAAAATAAAATATACGAGAAATATTTTTTTAGTTAAAAATTACTTAGTTAAAACTTTGTTTACCATTTAAGGTTTGCAAGACTTAAAGCATTTTGGTACTGTTTGAAATGTTTATTACCACACAATGTAAAAAAACAAAACAATGTAAACTCATTAAACATTCATTACAGTCCATCACAAGTTCATTGCTTAACATAGAACTCCCATTGATTCCTCGAGGATGGGATAGGAAAAAGAGCTACCTACATATCTCCCGTTAAAGTTTCCTTCTGTCGCCTCTTACGACACCCACGGGATGATATAGGGTAGTGGACTCGCACCCATGTCGCCAGTACATGGCAAATATAATGAACAATGTTTTTTTCTTACACTTTAAGTAATAAAAGCATTAAGTTATAAGTATGTATAATAAGTGAAAATTTAAAGAGTCCTAAGTGGGAGTAAGGCCGGTCACATACATATATTCGGGATTCCGAACGCAGCAAGTCCATATAAAACCTGTCACACACCTACGGTAGTTTGCCGTTCGAAATTTTGTGGGCAAAACGGGATTCCGTATGTGTGTGGTCGTACCGTTCGTTCTATTTCGGGATTCCGAAATGGAATTCCGTATGTAGTATGTGGCAGGCCTAACCGTCTGACGTCAGTGCGCTATGCTAACTTTTCACGAAAAGCACCCAAATTTGGAGTATGAAGTAAAAAAAATTACTCACCTCAACCAAAAATGGTAATACAGGAATAAATGTATTGGTCTCCTTAGAAAGATTAATAAGAATCTCGGCACAATGAAATCTGAGAGGGTAGTATTGGTGTGTTGGAACCAACTTTATGGTATTTGTAATCACCATCACTAATGGATACAATAATGGTTGTAATTGCTGTTTATTTGATGTTGCAGCTATTAAATCAGCCCATAAATGAAGGGAATTTATAAACTGCCAGTTATACACTGCTTGTCTGTTTTCCACTTTTTGCACTACAATTGCATTTCTCAGATGTATAGCCAGCTGCCTTATGTAAAGGAACACATGCTGATAAGAGGCATTTAGATCCAAAGAAAACATCTCCACTAGGGATCGCCGCATGAAGTTTATGCCTGGCCATGTAGAAGGACTGACAAATTTAGAATTTTTTACATATGTTAAATACATTGCCTTCAACACTAGATCAAGAAGTGCTGCTTGTTGATTTCTTGTTATTCGTAATATGCACAAAAATGCCAATACTCTTACAGTTTCTTCGCCACTACTCCACAACATAATCAGTTTTTTCAGTGACTGTTTCGATATACGACTAAAGCAAGCAACATATATTGACATCTGATGCAAATGCTTCAGAAGAACCGTCAGAATATTCTCTGATGTTACTCCACTCAGGAGTTTTAATAAATCTTTTAAATATGAAACTAATGGACCTTTGATTTTTATAAAATGTTTGCACTTCTGAGGATCTTTTCCAGATTGTTCCATACCAAGATATTTCTTTATAGCACCAGGCAAATACAAAACACACATTTGTATAACAGCATTGAACACTGAAGACCCTGAAATAAATGATACAAAAAAAGAATGTAATTTTGCTACAAATAATATGCCATAAACATATTTGAAAAAAAAAAATACTGCCAACAAAGAACTACCATGAGCTTTAGCTTCAACAATATGTAACAGGATTATTATTCTTCTTTTCCATCAGCAGCCGCAAAAGTCCTGGCCCTTAATAGGACCTAAGTCTCTCCCGTTATTAGAAGAATTTTATTTTCACGTTTGGTAGGAGGATTAATGACCGCAATATAGTATTTATATCTCAAGATTGGCGATTTTTTTCAATTAAGATGAGCTGGATAACGCTAATTGCAATTACATACACCAACACGCAAGTCTACACATCATACCTACAAGTAAGGCTCGCCCACCCTCGTTACTTAAAACATCTGTACGAGGTTTTTCGAACTTAAGTCGTTGATCCCCGTCACCGGTCTGTTCTAGCATTAAGTCGTGAAATTGTGTTTGTATAAAAAGATATTTAAAAAAAATCGAGTTTGCCTCAAACTGCAAGAACACAATAGAAGATAAAATGTGGGGACCTTCTTTTTGTGTAAAATTGCAAACTAAAAAATGTTTGTTTACATTTCTGTTTTGATAACACTTAAGTTTTTATAAAATAATCATTAAAACTGACTTATCAGTTTCTCGATTTCACAAAAAAATCTGCGATAAAATATAGTCTAGATCACATGTAAATTGTTTCAAGGGCTTCCCTCATAGATTGCCTCATGGAACACACAAGATTTGCCTTAGTTGCCACACTTGGTAACTGCAGTTTTTTTTTAACCTCCGACGAAGACAGAGGGGTGTTATGTTTGTAATGTGTATCTGTGTATCTGTATATTCTGTGTATCTGCGTATTTGTCTGTGACATCATAGCCACTGAACAGATGAACATGCTCAGAAGGGCTAGAACCCAGAGCCGTAAAGCCAGTTAATAAAAAAAATTGACAGATGAACCGATTTTGATTGTGTTTAAAATGTGTCTTAATCGAGAATGTTCTTAGCTTTGTTACAAGCAAATCTGTTCATCTGTTTGAAGATCATCAGTATTTTTTGGAGGTTTTTAAATTTTTTTTATTTAGTTATATTACTTTAAGTTGTTATCAGGAAGATACTGCTACCCATCTCCTGTTTCATTTTCCCTCTGTCGCCTCTTACCCTCGGGACGATATGGGTAGTGGATATTCGTATACCGCCACTACAATGGTTATATATATATATATATATATATATATATATATATATATATATATACCATCGATATATATGTACTACGCACTAGATATGGCATTCCGAACGCTCACTATGTTCAACTGAACTGTACTGCAATCCGTACACCTGTTATTGTGGCTTCGATATTCATAATAATTTATAGAATGAGGAGGATTCATAGAAAGAGGAAAGAAAGAAAGGAAACATAGCTTTTCTAAAACATGACAAAATAATAGCAAAGAAATCATCAGAAATAAGTAGAGAAAAAAGAAAAAGAGAAGGCCATGACTCACCTAACTCGGCATCCCAGAAAAAAATCGACTTAAAAGACAATCCAGCTTCTACATCAGCCAAGGGAAAAGAAATCCTAAAACCTAACATACTTAATTACGTTGAAAGAGGAAGATCTGCTTCAATGTCAGAGATTCCAAAAAACCTGTAATGACCACCGGTACTCGAAATCAACTTAGAACAATTAATACCAAAAGTACACATACAACAATTGAAAAATGCACCCCAAGCCGGTTGGTCACCGTGGGGAAAGAAGACCACTACCCTTCAGCAAATGAAACACCTAAAGATAAAGAAAAAGAGAAACCTAACAATAACAATATACACATAGCCACCCTAAACACACTTTCATTGAGGACTGCAGAAAAATTTCTCGAATTAGAGATAGCTTTGGGTAATATTAAATGGGATATTCTTGGTATGAGTGAAGTAAGACGAATAGGAAACTGCATCGAAGAGTATGACGACTACATTCTGTACTATATCGGTGAAACCAAGGGTCAGTATGGAGTGGGATTTATGGTGAAAAAACATCTAAAGAAACAAATCATAGAGTTCAAAGGCATATCCGAAAGAATAGCTTTACTAAATATACAGCTACAAGGCTATAAAAACAAGTGGACTATAGTACTACTATACGCGCCAACAGAAGCAGCAGACGAAAAAATTAAAGATGATTTCTACAACCAACTTACAACTACACTAGAAACTGCCCATAAAAACGTTATCGTCATGGGAGACTTTAATGGGAAAATAGGTAAACAAAAACATGGTGAAGAGACAGTAATAGGAAATTATGGCATAGGAAAAAGAAGCAAGAACGGCAAGAGAATTGTAAATTTGGCCCTGGAGAATAACTTAACCATACTAAATAGCGTTTTCAAGAAAAGAAAAACCAAGAAGCGGACTTGGATATCGCCAGATGGAAATTACCGAAATGAAATTGACTTTATAACTAGTAATCAACCCAAGTTTTTCCAAGATGTTAGTGTAATAAATAATTTCAATTTCAATAGCAACCATCGTATGGTGAGAGCAGTACTATTTCACAAACAACAAAAGAAACAACGAAAACACTTTCACCAGAGTGAAAATACCTGCAAGACTGATACTACGTCTCAAAGCAACGTAACAACCGGAGAAATAGACAAAATACAAGAAATTTACAACATAGAAACAAACGATATTTATAGAAAGAAGAACAAATCAGTAAAAAACAAAAATACACTGAGCTCGAAAACAATAGATCTCATTCAAAAACGGAAAGAACTGCTTAAAAATAGAAGAAATAAAACAACATTACATGAAATTACTGAACTAAGTAAGGAGATAAGTCGCAACATAAAACAAGATAAGTTGAATAAAAGAATAAAATGTATCCAAAAACACATTACAAAAACAGGAGGTATCAATAAAGCACTTAAAGAATTAAAAGAAACAACGCTATGGGTCCCGAAAATGAAAATCAAAAACAATAAGGACGAAACAAGAAGACAGCCAATTTTAAAGATAGCGACAGACTATTATCGGAAATTATACTCTACCGAAAATACCTTAAAATTAAACATAAACCTTGAAGACAAAACAGAAGAAATCCCTCCGATTCTTGAAAGGGAAGTTCAGCATGCGATAGAAACACAGAAAAACGATAAAGCTCCTGGACCTGATCATATAACCAATGAGATGATGAAAGCAACATTGCCAGAAACAACAAAAAAACTAACTAACTTGTTTAATCTTATCCTAAACACAGAATCCATACCTTCACAGTGGACAATAAGCACTATAATACTCATCTTTAAGAAAGGAGATAGATCAGACATAGGAAACTATCGCCCAATAAGTCTCATGTCCAACATATACAAGGTGTTCTCAAAAATAATACTGAAGCGCATTACCAAAAAACTTGAAGAACAACAATCAAGAGAACAGGCTGGATTCCGATCGGGCTTTGCAACAATTGACCACATACATGTGGTAAAACAGCTCATTGAAAAATGTCAAGAATACGATTATCCATTATACATGGCATTTGTGGACTATAACAAAGCGTTTGACAGCCTGGAACATCAGTACATTTGGGAAGCCCTGAAAAATCAAGGAATAGAAAATAAATATATAAGGATAATAAAAAATGTGTATTCCAACAGCAAAGCACGAATCAAACTAGAAGCAGAAGGGGAAATATTTCCAATACACAGGGGAGTGAGGCAGGGAGACCCACTCTCACCAAAACTTTTTTCATCCGTGCTAGAGGAAGTCATCAGGAAAATGGAATGGGACAACATAGGGATTAACATAAATGGAACACATTTAAATCATTTAAGATTTGCAGATGACATAATACTTATAACAGATAACTCGGAAAGCCTTAAAAACATGCTCCAAGATTTATCATGTGAAAGTAAAAAGGTGGGACTAACAATAAACAAAACAAAGACAAAGATAATAACAAACAGATCCCAAATAAGTATCTCAGTAGATGAGGAGGAATTAGATTATGTAAATTCCTATGTATACTTAGGCCAACTTATCGCCTTCAATAACCAAATGGATTCAGAGATTGAAAGACGGGTAGCCAATGCCTGGAAGAGATTTTGGTCCCTCAAAGAAGTGCTAAAAGGCAATCAATATAATATTGCAATGAAAAGGAAAGTATACAATACATGCATATTACCAATCCTTACCTATGGGTGCCAGACCTGGGCAAACACACAAAAACAAAACCAAAAACTGATTACATGCCAAAGAGCCACGGAGAGGAGTATACTGGGTTACACAAAAAGAGATAGAAAGAGAGCTGTAGATCTAAGACAAATCACCAAAATTGAAGATATAATAGTTAAAATTAGAAAACTCAAATGGAGATGGGTAGGCCACATGATGAGAGAGAATAGAAATAAATGGACGAAAGATATAACAGAATGGACCCCTAGATACCAAACAAAAAGAAAACGAGGAAGACAAAGAAAACGTTGGTCTGATGACTTAAAATGGCATGCGGGTCCAACATGGCATAGAACAACTGAAACAAGAGCAGAATGGAGGAGGCTTTCGTGTCGCAAAGACACGCCGACGCGACGCCCGATGACAACATCATACTTACCTAATAATATAACATCAACTAAAATTAAATACATATGATATTAATAATGTATAATAGTAATTCAATAATGTTAATAATGAATTTAATGTTAAGGTCAATTTTACTTTAAAGTTATATATTTTAATTTGCATGTATAATTTTAACTATGAAATGATAAATTATGTATATTGTGTTGGCAATAAAGGCTTAATAATAATAATAAAAAAAGATATAAGACAATCAAAGAATATAAATTTTACTAATTTTTCGATCTAAATAAAATCTCCATCGGATAAAATATAGCCCAGATTCCCGGCATTGCTTTCTAGCCATTAGAGATCTATCATCTAGCTGTCCAAGCTAATCAGTTATCCCGAAGATTAGCTTGGACAGCTAGATTTTTTAAAAATATTTTGTCATGTCTTATTGGCATGTAAGCTCAACTCAAAAGCAATTATTTCCGTATTACAGGGACACTTCAATTTCATTTATATGTACAGATATAGATAGAAGATAATATATGCTATAATATAGGTGTTTACTTTTAAGGTGTTATGATATTTAAATTATACAATACCTTCAACTTTAAGTTCACTTTGAGATGTCCCATCTTCACTTGTAACTCGCAACATTGCCGCATTGAATGCTTTGATGACTGTAACTAATGTTGGAAGTTTTATTTTGCCTTCACTCTGCAGCTCTGCTTGCCATTGTGCAACTAATTTAAGGTTTACCTTTCCTTGTATTGGCTTTACATCTTCATCCTGACGAGTGACATTTTAATAATATATTATTATCATAGGACTACAATTATGAAAAATAGTAAAAATTTTTACTAATTTATTTAAAAAAAATTACACACAAAACAAATTATGTCTTGTAGGTATTTACATTCTGATCTGCAAACAAGTAAAGCAAAATGAGATGCATTGATGGTGTTTTTCAATACGAAACAAAGAGTAGTCTATTTAGTCTAAGATTATGATAAATGTTAGCACACTGTAATAAGTTTCCACTTGTCAATAATAAAATTTGTTGATAGGCTTGTTTTAATATTTCAATATTTATATATATTTACCATTCAATCATGCTTAAATGACTAAAAAGATATTGAGGAAACTTAGTCTATGTAGGTAGAAGTCATACATGGCACTCGAAGTGTAATTCGCCAGTGAAGCAAGCAGATAACAGCTAAAAAATAATGTCCTAGGGAAGTTCCAATGCTCAAAACTAGTATAGTGTGTGTAAAATTCACCTCTGTGGGGGATAAGGTTTCGCCGATCTGCAATAGAAAAACTTGAAGATTGCCTAGGATAGGTTAGACATTAGTAGGAGATAGTAGCCATGATGTAGGGTTAAATGTTTAATCAGGAAGGGTTTTTCCATGCAATAATACCCAAAGCCTAGATAGTTCATGTAGTATAAACAAAATTATAATCAGGGTTTGCACATTGATTCAATTTTGATTATTAAATACATATAATTTGCAAACAATTATGCATTAAATATTAAAGTCATCTCTTTAAATAAACGTTAAAATACAGTAAATAACAGTAAATAACAGTAAAATAACCTCAAAATCACTCTCGTCACTATCCCCTTTGAGTGGACCTGGTTTGTGTAGTTTTTCCTCATCTTCCCCACCTACAGAGGCATCATCCTCAGAATCTTCACCAAAATTTAATAAATTTTCATCGTTTTCTTCTAGGAAACTGTAGAAGTCTGGATCAATTTTCTTTAATTTCTCTAAGGATTTTTTGTGGACCTCTGGAGATAATTCTTCCTCAGAATCTAAAAATTTTCCATTTTGTACATTAACAAACAATTCAAATATAAATAATAAATAACCTTACTGAGTAACTTCAGAATTTTATAATCATCATCATCATCATTGCAGCCCATTATTAATTTACCACTAACAATTTTAAGCTAAAAGGCCTTTCCACTTAAAATTGTTAGTGATCACAATATGATAGCACAATAGTAACCATTTCTTTGTATTTATGTATGATGTGGTAAGGAGGGCAAAGGGATTAAGGACAAACTCCCTGATGAAGGATTGTTGGGGAATTTAATAATTTTTTTAAGGTTTTACTACAAAATATCAATTGAACTGTTAATATTAGCCGTTCTATTAATACACTTAGCCCTACTGGAAGAGCTAAGCATATTTAATAAAATATTCATCGTAATGAAAACCAAATGCTCCCCATATTTTTATCAGTAAATTCATAAATCATTGAAATATAATTGTATGGTTAATAATTGTCATAAAAAAGTAAAAGCTGTACAACATACATGTTTAAAGTTAATTGCCTGGATATTTGTAATACAAAGTATGGGCTGGCTATATTCTGGTACTTGATTTTAAAAATATTTTTAGTTTTTAGGAGGCTAGTTAGGGTTATGCTTGAAATTATTGCACTGTTTTTAGATGTTGGAAATGTGTTTTGAATTATTTACAATAGTAACAAATTTTACTAAAAATTGCTCATAACTTAACGCAAATATGTCTATTTGGTCTAGTATTATGAAGTAGACGTCTGGTACTGATTTTGTAATTTTGTTTTAAATTTCAGAGGTTTTTCAGGGTTAAGCTTAAGCCTTTTAAACTATTTTTTTATTTCTGAAATGCCTTTTGAATTATTTATTATTAATTTTCATATAACGAAACACAACTAACTCAATTTGTTTTTTTTGAACACAAATACACCCATAAAAAAGTTATCACTCGGAGCCAGACAATCCATTTGTGGTTGAAGACAGGACTCATATACAACAAATTGAGTTGCAGTGAAGAGCTGTCAAGAAGTTTCTCAGAAAACAAAATTATAACTCTATAATCCAAACACCTCTGTATTCCACACGCCCTATCCTTGGCTGCTTATTTGCGGTTGTCCGCTTAGTGCGGTGTCTGTGAAATGTGTGTAAATACCTCGTCGACATTCCTGTGCCAGAAAAAATGCTTTTACGTAAATTGCGAGAAAAAGTATTTTATTTGTCATTAAATACCTCTCGACAAACTAAAATATTGGGTTTCTTTAAAATCTTTAAATAAATTTTATGTAATTATTTAAGTTTATTGATTAATATACATTTAAAATTTCACAATACTATTTTTTTTTATTTCATCCATACATTCTCTGTACTATAAATCGAATGTTCAACAAATTCGAATAGGGGGGTAAGTTTTCAGAGTTTGGATTAAAAAGGTCCTGCTGTACCACTATCATAGCAGAGTTTACAGCCACCTGACTTTATGGATAAGATTGGTCAAATCTATTGTCTACTCTACGCCTAGTGACTTGTAAAGCCGTAGGCACGGAGGAAGGGCAAGCCTTGCATGCCGTAACAAATTTCAATCACCGGCACGAGCTCTAGCGGCTGAGGCTTGTCACAGAATGCGACCAATGAGCCAAAGCTGAGGAAGCGAGCATGGGTGCCTGCGTTTTGATATGCAAGGGCAAAGGGGCTGCACTTCTCGCAGCTCCAAAGCTGTTGCAGAAGTAACTTTATGTCAATATTCATGTGTAAAAAGTGAGGCTATGACTTTAGAAAAAAATCATCATAAACTATACATTTCCGCAAAGGGGAAGGGTAGAATCGGCTTCTCTTGCACCCTTTTGATATTTTAGCACTAGACTTACAGAAATAGAACCCATCCCTTTTAAAAGTTTAAGCCTTCAAATTGATTGCAGGCCTTGTACAGTTAAGTTTTATGTTTAACCCCTAGATGTATTTGATGATACAAGCCACCTGCCTGCCATTTGGCCAACACTTTTCAATTCTACTTCGCTATAATCAGTTCACTTTACTGATTCTATTACTTTATAATTAGTATACAATATTATCACTACCTAATTCATCACTGGACACCTTAGCAGTCTTTGGGTTCTTCATTTTCAATTATCAAAAACTTTTTCTTTTGTCTTTAAAGAAATGAATTATTGACTTGACAAAATTTTAATAAGCAAAGTTAACTGCATACAGATGCGATTTGCCGATTTGTTAATTTGTGATTTCGTGGTGGTGCAAAAATTCAAGAATCAACACATTTTCCTATACCACGTTGCTTTGACATTTATCTCATCTGACACTGACAAGTGGCAACCAATTATGACCTCAGAGGAATATCTGTAACTTCATGGTTACGTAGTAAATATTAGTTAATCTGTGACGAAGTGTTTATGGTTTATGCTTTATGCCTTTTTCCAGGTATATATGGGTTATGGGTATGTTCCGAAGTACAACCCAGTACACGGTTAAATGCTAATGACGTCATCAATTGACACTATATTGTACTGGCGTGCCGCCGCCATATTGCGTCGGATAACCGGCCACAATAAAACAATTTTTAATTGTGTGTGCGCTGAATGAAGCATGCCAGAATTTGTTTCTATTTATTCAAATACAAAAAATTATATAATAATTGCTGGTATATCTATTAGGAGGATATAATGATTTTTGGATCACAAAATGACAAAATAATCGCCAACACTTTTCTAAATGGCGCAAAAGTATGACGTCATATAGTGTCCAATGTTTTGGAACGAATCACCAGTATAGCGTCGATTCATGACGTCATTTGCATTGGACAGTACATTGCGTTGTATTTCGGAACATACCCATAATGTACTCTGTGATGCCTTTACGTCAGTGTTGGGAAATGTACAATAATTATTGGGTTCTTACAATAATTTGTTACACGAAACTAAATTGTACCATAAAACATAGCTTTCTCATTATTGTACGCTTTCATACAATATTTCCTATTTTCACACAATATAAGTTCAATACTAGACACACGCAACTTTAAATGGTTGGTACACAGTACATAAGACAACGATTTATCGTTGCAAACTGACTGCGCAGATCATTTGTGCAGTTTTATCGAACGTGTGCACAAAAATCGGCGCAGATTTTTTGGTTGGTGCAAGCCATCGGAGCAAAGTTTAAAATCTATTCGATAAATCGTTGTCGATCGCGTTTGCACAGTTTTATCGTAGTGTGTTTACGGAAGTCGGACCAATCATTCAGTTCGTTTGCAAGTTCGTTCGTTTCAGGAACGATTTGACTGAGAGCCTCTTTTGATATCAACGTAGAAACTTCATACATTTGTACGAGCGACCTGTAGCTAAAATCTCAGAGTTGCAGACAATATTTAATGAGAACTTATTGCTTCTCTCATCACGGTATTGCTTTTTTGTATTAGCGGTGTAACTAAAAACAGGAGGTATAAATAAGTCTCTTCATTCATTGTCAAATAATTGCACCAGTCTTATGGGGAATTTCAACTCTTTTAATAAATTTATGTGAGAGTATGACTTTTTTTAGGAAGCCAATCCTTGCACCACACACTACGTGATTTTCTTTTCTTTTTGCATAAAAATAAGCCATTCGATCCATCACGAATGACGTGTTTTTCTTCGGCGTTTCTGCCGAGAACTGTCGATCGACGCAGATATAGTAGACGTGTGGACGCACTATCGACGTTCGATAAACTGCGCAAATGAACATTCCTGTTTAGTTCTTATTGTATAATTCCGTGCCCTACGTTTTATTATTTTAATAAAAAAAAACATTTAATAACATATTTTTAGTTTATGCAAATATAAAGAAATAGCAAAAACCTATTAAATTTGGATTTAGACAACTTAAATAAATAAAAAAATCATTAGCAAAAAATACTGTAATCTACCCAAAATACAATATTTTCTAGCTTGGCAACACCATAATTTCGCACCATTTATTTTCCAACACTGCTTTACGTCAAAATTTTCTATTGTAGCAACAAAATAAAATTTTCCAGAACAACAATCGAGAAAATAGTAAAGCATAAAACATCAAACAAACATTACTAAAATAAAAAGAGTGATATCACTACGATCGTTAAGTTTATGCAGGTGCAAGTAACGATACCAGGCAAGGGTAATAGTGATAGACTGCGAAATTAGAACTGAAAATACGTGTTCTGTAATTTACTAAAGATATTAATTGCGTGTGAGTTAAAATAGTATCAATTTCATGTGTTGTATAATTGTAATGTTTTGGTCAAATCTGTAGTTATTTAAATACCTATATAGGTTATACGACCAAATCCTATTATTGCATTTTCTTATTTGTAGTTACATCATGCTTTCTCGAATGTGCCTAGTACGTTCGACTTTAAACGTACAACAGACTTTAAGGACACCCATACCACAGAATTTTATGCCAAAAAATTATGTAGTCCGAAACTATGCACGTGATGCACGCTCCCGTGTTGCAACCAGAACACAACCCACACTTTGGGAAAGATTAATGGCACCAGCTGGTCCTAATGGTATGTTAGACTTCTTCATTTAATGAAATGACCGTGACTTAGCCAAGAGACTAAGGTTAACTAAATTTTATTATGTTTGCAGCCTTCAGCTTAGGAAAAGGAGCACTAGCAGGAGCATCTGCAGTGGGTCTTGGTGCCCTTTGCTATTATGGATCAGGAGTCAAACCTGGCACATTGCAGGAGGCACAGTGAGTTATTTGTTCTATGTATGTACTTAACTCTGTCTAGATAAGCAATGATTGATATTTATTGATTTATGCAAAGATAATAATTGTTTTCTAATAAGATGAACGTAAGATAAAATAGAGGCATATTAGTTCAGAAGCAGGAACTAGCCACTACTGCTGAAACTCAATTGCATTTTTAAATAATGCTTTTTTACCAAATGTTCATTAGGAAAGAAAATGTGTATATGAGTAATTATGTCTGTTAAAAATATTTCATTAGAGTTTGATTTTTATTATTGCATAATGTTTTAATCTCTTACATCATCGTTACCAGCCTTTTGTTCAGCAATGTAATTGACACAAGCTTTATTGGGGTGGTATTTGGTATCACCATTTGATTATTTTACCTGCAAATAAAAAAAATCCTAAAAATAAAATTTAACTGAACACATCTTTAGTAATCTAAATAGTGAATGCCCCACTAACTATAATGCAAAACTAGATCGGATCGAATGGATAGGATATAACGCAAAAACTGACGAAGCGCATGGACAACCTGAAGCAGAGAATCGCTGCTTGTGGAAAGTGAATTCGGTAATATACCGAGAGGTTGACATGGTTCAACTAAAATCGTTACTTCCGGAGTGATCAGAAAAGGCTATAAATTATTGCAGAAACCAATGTGCCCAGCACTGAATCAGGCCGACACTATCGCGTCATGGCGCGGCATGCTGTCAGAGCCCGTAAACCACAGCGAGGGCCCTTGGACGGAAGCTGTGGCAAGTCAGTGTGCAAGTATTACACCCATGGACCCCGTCATCATAACGCCGGATGAGGTAGCTTAGGCCCCGAACAGGAAAAGTCTGGGACTTGACGGGCTTTATCACTACTGGCTGAAGGGGTTCATGTATCATGCTTGAAACTGTGAGGAAGTGGCTCTCAACCAGAAGTTGCTCCCCAGCCCCTCTACTACTGGGATCACTCATTTAGTTCCCAAGGACCAGGATACTGCAGTCCCGCGCAAATACCGCCCTATCACGCAGTCTACCGACCATATACAAGACACTAACATCTTATGTATGTGTAATTGTGCGCGAGAATCGCTCGTCATTTGGTCACTGAAATCAGGTGATGTCGTGTGCTCAAAATGGATGCTGGAGCGGTGGTTGTGGAACCAAGGAGCCGCTTCTCATTGCGCGGTTATTGGCAAAGTGGTGAAACGCAACCATCGGAACTTCTCCGCCACTTGGATAGACTACAGAAAGGCATTCGACTAGTTCCCCATACATGGCTAAAGAGGGTACGAGCTGTACAAGATTTACTGTACGGTAAGAGACTTCCTCGAGCAGTGTATGGGTCAGTGGAGTACGATCCTTTGTCATCTGGGCGAGCGCATGACAGCTGCAAAAAGCCGCATAAAGATAAGAAGGGGTATCTTCCAGGGCGATTATCTGAGTCCAGTACTTTACTGGAGGGCTCCGGGAGGGGATTTCAGCATCGGAAAGGAGGTACAAAAGTAACCTACCTTTTCTATATAGATGACCTCAAGTTATTTACCTCCAGTCGCTCCCATCTTGTGGAATTGCTAACAATCACTTGTGATTTTAGCAATTCTATTAGAATGAAGCTGGGAACGGATAAGTGTGTGGGGTCCCATATTGAAAGGGGAAGGGTTGCTAACTCTGAGGGCATTCATTTATCTATGTCCGTCAACTTAAAGACCCTTTCCAAGGCTGAAACATACCGATACCGGGGTATGTCACAGAATCGGTATTTTTTTATTTATTTATTTAACATAAAAAAATCACACAGTTACAGTTTTACAGTCTGCCAAACTGCTCAGCAGTTTGTTGGCAGTAAAAATCCTCTCTTACATTATAACATGCAAAAAATAGAGTAAAGAAAAAAAATTAGCTTAATACAATTGTACTACCACTAATGTGACAAACCAATAGTATTAATATAACATTAACCTTTTGAGCGCCAAAGTCGCCTATACTTGACAAAAAACCTGGCCCACAACAATATGAAATATTGGTATTGGAAAATTATTACTGGTATTTTAATTCTGCACTCCTCAAAAAAGAATAACCCAGCAACATGTGAGTATAAAAAACAAGTCTAGAGCCACAAGTACTAAGATACATTGAACTAAAAAAATGGATTTTTATCTAAGCAAATACTATGTCCAGGACGCCAAAGTCGTCGTCTATGTTTGACTGCTAGTGTTGTAATGCATTAGGCGTAGATTTATTGAAAACTATTCAAAATTAAACGCAAACGTGTTATTTTTTAAATTATCATTGATATTTGAATAAAACAAAAGGTAAAGAAACATAAAACTATCATCAGCTACATAAATAAAAGAAAATTTCATCAAACCAACTTTGCATAATAAATCTAATATCTCAACTCTGGCGCATCCTTAGCGCGTCATAGATTATCAGTTCATTGGGCGCCGTGGTCAAGGATAGACGACACCCTGATGACGTCATAAACGAATAGCGGAAAAAGTAGTGCAGTGCAACATGAACGATTCCTCAGAACTCATTCGTATTTTGGAAAGTGTCAATGATGATGCATTTTTTTTTAATAATATAAAATTACAAATAATAAATGTTTATTTTTTTCTTAAGGTATGAATAGCAATTTTACATTTTGTGTTGTGTGATTTTCTTTCTCAATCTAGGGTATTGACTGAAACCTTTATTATATTTGCTGATGACATTTCCATTCTTATTCCGCATTCATAGGACCAGAATTTAAATAATAAATTGAATTAAGTATTGAACCAGGTTACAAATTGGCTGACACATCACAACCTAGAGATTAATTTTAGTAAAACTAAAATTATGCAATTCTGACCACTTCAAAAATCACCACTAAATATTGCTTATAATAATATACCTATAGGAACTGTTGGCAACTTCAACTTGTTAGGCCTGGAAATCGACTGCCATATGAACTGGAAAGCCCATATAAATAAATTAAAAAATATAATAATCAAAATTCACTTACGTATTATGAGAAATAAAGAAAACCACAGATGTCTCCAGCGCTCTGTCAGCATATTACGCATACACATCTTCGTGGCTGTCATACGATGTCATGTTGTAGGGAAATAGTAAAGATACACAGCAATTATTTATAATGCAAAAAAAATTATAAGAAACAAAAATTCCAGAAAGTTGTAAGCCCCACTTCAAAAAGTTTAAAATTTTGACTTTGACGTCTATTTATATTTAGGAAACATGCAAATTTGTAAAAACCACCCAGAACTATTTACCAAATTAAGTGAAACAAAATACAAATACTCAATTAGACGAAATTAAAATAGGCCGAAATCTACTCTTGCTTTGCATAGCTCTAGTCCCTACTGTATGGCAGTTAATAACCTTCCAAATGACATAAAAATTTAACGAGTACTACATTATTTTTATCCAAATTAAAATTATATTTAATTGAAAAATGTTTCTATAATTTAAATGAATATTTTGATACAAATATTATTGAATTTGTGTGGACAACTTCGGCCTGTGCCTATCTAATTTAATTTAATTTTTTTATTCCATTATTATTTTGTACTTAATTTTATTATTATTTTTTTACTTGACATTGTGATTATTAATTTAATTAAATTTACAGAATTTTGAAATAATATAATCTAATATTGTAGTTTAAAAATAATATTTAATGTTTTTATAATTGCTGCGCCCAAACTGGGTTCAAATGCAGACTATTTTTTAAAAACATCACATCTATTGTTACCATTTGATTGCAATAAAGATTATGATTACGATTATCTCAAAATCATCTGCTAGCATCAGCATCATATCAAACCCCCATTGTTATAAGAGCGTAAGACTTTTTTTCTGTGCTTCACTTGGCCTACGCCTCCCCCGACACATAAAATATTTTGAGTCGATATCTCTGTATATTTTGGTTAGATCGATTTCGAAATCGATACACAACGTGCGACACGGCTACATCTCTAAAAAAGTTTCAAAAAGGAAGGTCAGCTACGCTCTTGTCATCCAGTCGTGACAGTGACATCATCACGATGAAGAGTACTGTTGTGATTTACTATTTTATTGTTATTGTTTGTTTTTATTTATATAAAAAGAGTGGAAGACAGCACAAGATTAAATAAAACATACCAAATTATAAAGAGTCATTTATTGCATAAAAAACCAACAAAATCAAGTTATTTTGTGTTATCGATATATCAACTCTTGGCAACACAATTTTTTTCGTAGATATTTTTGTTTACTTTTCGCTTTTACGTACAGGATAATATGGTAATGCGTTTTTGGCGTGGCGCTTAAAAGGTTAATCAGGTAACTTAAAGGATAACGGCATTTTTCATATTACATGCATACATAATTATTACATCTTACCTATGATGTTGTACAATGGATCGTCATGATACATTCCATTTTTACTATAAGTTATTTTAACTTATTTTTAAACTGTTGTTTTGATTTATGCGTAAGGCATTCTTGCGGTAAATTGTTATAAATTTTTGTTATTAAATGTTGGAATGTTCTTTTACTTTTACTTTAATGAGGCTGGTATGAAACAGTCAGTTTTGGACGCGTTTTATGCTCACTTGAAGTCTTCGAGTTTCTGCATAATTGCAGTCACATTTCCCGAGACCCATCATCAACATGTTAAAATATTCCTCTTTTGAGTAAGACATCACACACAAGTTATAAACATATCCGCCCGGAAGTAATTTACGCGAGTGGTAACAGCTATCAATATCAGCGCGCGCACTACTGGTGATTGTTTGCTGTGCTTTTGCGTAGATGTAGCAAAGCATTTGTAATATACAACATAATTTTGATAACAGCCTTTTGTCCGGTGTGAATAAAACACTCATATAATAATAATAATAATGTCCTCCAGACCGAATTTCAGCCACGGCGGTCTGTCTCTCAACAGAGGCTAGCCATCGGCGAAGGACAGGATCATAATGCCCAAGCATATGCGCAAGCACAAGTGCACTCTCTATTCCCTCACTCTCATAATCCGATGGGACGGTAAACCGACACGACCGGAGGGAGATCAGGTGCAGGACCAACGGCTTGACGTGCTTTCCGAGGCACGGGGGTGAGACACCGCCAACTTCCTGACTCCGGGCAGCTACTGAGAATTTCTTGGACAGAAAAACTCAATAAATGGTTTTTGGCCTGACCCGGGATTCAAACCCAGGACCTCATGATCAGTAGTCGCACAACTACAACCACTAGACCAACGAGGCAATCTACACGTATATAACGGTTGGGTCATGCCTGTCCTCATGTATAGGTACCTGTGGCATACTCAGGTGGTCTCAGACTGAACTTAACACCCTCGATAGAAAAGTCCGCACTACCATGACGTCCCATAGAGTGAATCATCTGAGACCGTCGGTAATGAGGCTGCACTTGTGAAAACGGCACAACACAAACCGCAATTTAATAGATCTGTTTACTAAACGCATTGGATTGTTGGCTGTTCACATACCAATAAGTTGTACTGTTGGTGTTGCATATTCTTTTCCAACGACAAAACGGCTTGGAATACTACTGGATATGATGATTTAAATAACTTATCAGGAGCCATTAAAAGGCATATGAATTCTCAAAAACACATGAATGCGTTAATTTCGTTTTGTGATTTTGGAAAAAATCGGATTGAAACATCTTTGTCGCGCCAGTTATCCGAGGAAATTACAAAACACAACATGCGTGTTGATCACAACTGTAGTGTTTTTCAAAGGTTAGTCGATATTGTTTGTCATTTTTTCAAGATTTTCCTTTCATAGGTCATGATGTGTCGAAAACTTTAAAATAGAGGCAATTTTTTAGAACTTGTATCGCTTCTTTCGAAGTACGATCTCGTGTTAGAAAAGCATATGCAATATCAACAAAGCGACAAACGGCCGAGTTATTTATCTAGTACAATCCAAAATGGCATCATTCATTCTGTCGCTGATGTAATGATGTAAAATTGTCAAAATTCGTTTCAATTATTATTGATGAAACTCCCGATGTTAGCCACAGAGAGCAATTGTGTCTGATTCTCCGATATTATTATGGGGAAGATATTCATGACCTTTTTTTGGGGTATGTAGATGTATCTGAAAGTCGCACAGCGGACACACTTTGATGATGAAGATGTTTGTTCCCAAGCCGTGTATATTTGGCACACATTTGGCATTAGTTTTATCTAAATCGTGTAACAGGATTAGAGAAGTCAGCACTTTTTTTCAGCCCTTCAGGCTTTATTTAATTTTTTTAATAACTGTACAAAATGGTCGTCTTTTTATGATACACATTGCAGCAAAAATTGCCTAATGCTCCCGCAACTTTTGGACGCATACATCACGAAATGTGAATACTGTATTCGAACAAAAAGATAATCTGATTAATTTGTCAGCAGTCAGCCTCTCGGGTTATCTGAGGCGGCTGGGGCTCCGGGCTCAAATGCAGAAGGTGGTGCTCCTTGATACCGCCCGTATCGTGCGCCGGTTTCTTTCCTTTTGCCCTTAATCCTCGGCCGTTTGGTCTCCCCTGCCGATTGCTTCCATCTGGTTGGGCTTGTATTTATTTATTTATTTATATTTATGTATATTTATCATTTCATTTCAAAAACGATAGGCTAGAAGATAAGCAAATATTAAATTTATATAGTACCCATATTCGTCTCCACTACGGGTGTCATACCCAACTATCTCCACCATAGCCTCAAATTATTAGACCTGAAACACTCAACATACACTCAAAAAGCCGCAATTTTAAATACCTGTCGAAGTGTAAGAAAATTCATGCAAATTTGAAGAAAATCAAATAACTCCCCATAACATCCCACCTACATAATAATATATACTCACTAAACGCTGCATTTACTTGGTTTCGGTCCAGATATGCAGTCAAAATTAGCCAAAGAGATAAGAAATACAAATGTTTTGCCCATAATAATAGTAAAAACTTATCATGTGCTATAAGTGTTGTTGTTATTTAATATTTGTTTGAGACTTCTGTGGTGACAATGTGAAAACAATAGAACCTAATATTTATTCCTTGTGCCAACCTACTGCAAAAGTTAATAATTAATTCTACATAATTATCTCCCACTGTTTTTTTCTGATCTCTTTAGGCTTAAACTAATTTAATTTTAGCTGAATCTTGTTTCTCTTATAAAAAATAAAACAACTTGAATATTACAAACTTATAAAATGATATTACAAACTTTATTCTTCCTTTATTTTTAGCCTCTGGCCTCAGTATGTTAAAGATCGCATTAAAGCAACATATGGTTATATTGCGGGTTCCCTCGTACTGACTGCAGGAAGTGCAATCACAGTTTTCAGAACACCTGCTCTACTAAATTTAGTGGCACGTAATGGATGGATGGTAATTCATTTTATATTAATTAAATCAATTTAAATAATATATAAATTTAAAAATGAATATTCTTTTCTTTGTTTCTGTTATATATATTATAAAACATTTCATATAATTTTTTCAAACCAGAAAAACAGACTGATTCTTAAATATTATTTATACATTTCAGTCAATCATCTTAACACTTGGCCTTATGATTGGATCAGGCATGGTAGTGAGAAACATGGAATACAAACCAGGTTTTGGAGCAAAACAGCTGGCTTGGATAGTACATACTGGCATTATGGGTGCTGTTATCGCACCAATTTGTTTCCTTGGTGGTCCTATTCTAATGCGAGCTGCATGGTAAGTAATAGAATATTTATTTCAACACACCCTATAGCCCTTTAAAGGTAAAGAGGATGATGCATGATAACGGATATTTTATATCCTGTTCTGTTATATTCATAACGGATTCCACTCATAGAACAGAAAAAAAGCAGATCTTCTGCTTATGCACGCAGTCTATATGTAGGCTGAGCCCGAAAGTTAGTGTTGGTAGTTAGTGAGCTAGAAACTTATCAGCTCACATTGAATTAGGTTCGCGATATATCCCCTAATATGTCTGTCGGCTTAGTATTTCTTTAATCTTTTTAAAAATAACTAGCTGAGTATATAGTAACAATATGTAAAAATAATTTCTGAGTGTTATAGATTTGTTAGTAAAATAAAAAAGGACAATCTGCGATTATTTGTACTTTTGTTTCAATAACACAAAAAAGTGTAAAAATTTTTAGCAGATATTTTCTATTGACAAGCATAACATTATTTTCTTTATCTGATACTGTAGATGTGTTTGCATGCTCTCTACTCGTATTGACTAAAAGTAATTTATTAAATCATCAATAAAACTTTTTGGTATTTCGATTTAAAATTATTTACATTAAAGTAATAAAAGGAAAAAATAAACAACGTTTAGTAATCTTTATTTCTAACTTATATTGGCTTTGTGACTATAACTGCAGTAGTGACAAAGGTAATTACTACCTAGCTATCAAGTAGGGTCGATGCGCCGGTAAGCCGGCCGGGTCTAGATTTCGGCCTTTGGCACGAGCTGATGCAGTAAATTTGATTTAATAAATTTTAATAAATATTATCGTACGAAATACAGTTTAATGCATTTGTAAATAGTTTCACTATATCTGGTAGCATTAATTAATCAGGTAAACACAACACGCGATTTATAATAAATAGTTTAGTTTGACGCCGACACTGAAGCTATCAAAACGGGTAAGATCGAGCAAAAAAAATAGTGGCGAGCGTTCCATTCAAAAGTAAGTTTCGTGCTGTATTTAATATAATTACTTAATATTGTGCTTATATTTCACTGTATAAATAACCTAATATAGTTATTTGACACTGATTATTATAATAATTTATTGATAAAGTTAATAAATTAAGTGGCCGAAAAGTGACACATAAAATTGTCCCATTATTTGGTTGTCGGCCATGCGGCCGAAAAGTAGCCTGAGTTTAGCCTAAATACTTTGTCTCCTTCGTTTATTTGGTTACGTACTATAACTCATCTTTCTTACTTATATTGAATCGTAGCGTGCGTAGACACTAACTTTCAGTTTTCGGCCACCAAGTACTGCAATTTGAACAGTTAGTGATGAAACAAAATACCCATTTCGGTCGTGGCCGAAAACTGGATTGACTCTAAAATAATTACAATTTAGTTTTCGGCCAACTTAAAATTGTATGAAAGAATACGGTGGCGGAAAATGGAATGCTGTCTTAGTTTACGTTTACGGCCATTTCATCTTATCATATCAAATATTTTATTCACATTGCATTTTAGGAAGAAGATTCAATAAGAATTTTTTTTCTTCAGATGGCTCCTCTTGATTAGAGATGGTAACAGATTTTGTTAAACTAAAATACTTATGAGGAAGTACAAAATACTTGTAAATGAGAATATTTGATTGCTATATTTAAAAGATTTTATTATTAGATTATGATTCAAAGAGAAATAATTAATCATGGTTATTATTTTATATCAAAAACACACCCAAAAAGAAAAAAAAAATGTCACGGTTAAAAAATTGCAATCACCGATTGAGAAAACTAAATACACCGATTTCCCAAACCTTTTTGCCATTTTCTGATTTTACAAAAACACTTTTAAGTTTATAGTACCTCTTCTAATACAGTGGCCGAAAACTAAAATTCTTGTAGGCCGAAATCTAAAATTTGGGGCGGAAAACTAGCGTTTTGCATATTTTTCACATCAAAATTTATTATAAAATATAGATTTCTTTTGTAGCATCAATGAGTTATCAAAATGAAAACTACATTATATAAGCTATAAATTAACATTAACAACACTAGGTCAACATAATCGCTATTATTTTTTATAGTACCTTAAAGTTGACAACTCCACTAAAAGGCCGAAAACCAGCGCAACGACCCTACTATGAACTTGAATCGGTTATCTAAAATATTTTGTATATTATTTAAATATTACTTTAATAAATGTTCAAAACAGCCTATAATGAATGCTATAAGAGATGAGAATGGCTATATTCTAAATGATGAAGTTTTGAGTTTAAAGAGATGGAAGGAATATTTTGAAAGCATGTTTATGAGTGAGGGGACAACGTATGAACTGAATGAAATAGGAACTCCGAAAGAAGAGGAAGGAGGTAGCGAGATAAGTATAGATGAAATAATGAAAGCAATGAAAAGCATGAAAGCAGGTAAGGCTGCCGGATATGATAGAGTTTCACTCGAAATGCTAAGGGCTGGAGAGGAAGTGGTGGCAGGCCTGCTGCACACCTTGTTTAATTTATGCTGGGAACTGAAGCGGGTACCGGGAGACTGGTGCAAAGCCGTGATAGTCCCAGTATATAAGGGAAAAGGGTCGCAGCAGGACTGTAAAAACTACCGCGGTATCAGCCTTCTTGGCATCGTGGGAAGACTGTATGCCAAGGTACTAATTGAAAGGGTCATGAAAGAAACCGATGGAAAAATTTGGGATGTGCAAGCGGGATTTAGAAAGGGAATGGGATGTACAGATCAAGTCTTCTCCATGCGCATGATCGCGGAGAAGTTTTTGGCCAAAAACCAAAAGGTTTTTTGTGCGTTCATGGACTTGGAGAAGGCCTATGACAGAGTGGATAGGAATGTGCTATGGCAAACACTGAACTCATTTGGGTTGAGCGCTGGCTTGATACAGGCATTGGAATCTCTTTATAGGGACTCTAGTGCTTGTGTTAGGATCAACGGGGTCTACTCGGACTGGTTTGGCATCCATAAAGGTGTCAGACAGGGCTGTGTGGCTTCCCCGTGGTTGTTCAACCTATTTATGGACAGTTGTTTGCAAAATTTGAAAGTTGAAGAATGCGGATTAAGAATGGGTGAGTTAACCATCAAATGCCTTTTGTACGCCGATGATCAAGTTATTCTTGCGTCGTCGGCGGCTGAGTTGCAAATGATGGTTGCATTAATGAACAGATCATTAAAAGAAAGGGGTATGAAAGTGAACGCAAGTAAGACAAAAATTATGGTTTTTGAAAGAGATGAAAGTAAAACGATATGTGAAATAAGAATAGAAGGGGAGTTGATCGAGCAAGTAGATGAGTTTGTATATTTGGTTTGCGTATTTAGCAGGGATGGGAGATATGATAAGGATATAGAACGACGAGTGAACGTAGGAAACAGAGTAAATGGAGCCCTGCACTCTATTGTGAAGAGTCAAAATGTGTCAAAAAAAGGCACGTATGGCAATTCACAATGCTGTGTTGGTCCCTACTTTAACGTATGGTAGTGAAAGTTGGGTATGGCAGAAGAAGCACGAGAGTAGAATAAATGCAGTAGAAATGCGGTCGTTAAGGAGTATGTTAGGGCTGAATCTGAATGACAGGGTGAAAAATTGTGTGATAAGAGAAGAGTGTGGTTTGCAAGATGATGTTGTGACCAGGATTAAGAAAGGAATGCTTCGGTGGTTTGTTCATGTGGAAAGAATGGATGAGGAAAGAGTGACAAAGAAAATTTATGTTGCAGAAGTGAATGGCAGAGTCGGAAAGGGACGTCCTAGGCGAAAATTTATCGACCAAATTGGCGATTTATTGAAAACGGGCCAAATTAGGAGTACCCTTAACCGACGAGCATGCATGCGTAGGTGTATGGATGTGAAGGAGGCGAGAGAGGTGTGTCAGGATCGTGCCAAATGGAAGTCTGTAGTCTCTGCCTACCCCTCTGGGTGACAGGCGTGAGTGTTTTATGTTATGTAATTGAATACCTATATTATTTTACAATCATTAGGTAAAAGTTATCCTCCATCAAATAAATTATTAGCTCACTGAATATAAAAGTAAAATTTGTTTGTTGTATTTTATCCTATGAACAAATTTTAACTGATGATTAAGAAATCGGCATTTAGACAATTTTATTTAATTAAAATAATATATGCTAATAAGTTTGGCATTCCTTGGGGGAGGCCTATGTTCAGCAGAAGACTTGTGAGTGGCTGTGATGACGATGATGCTAATAAGTTGAGACCTCGCCTGGCAACTACAGTAAATTCTCCTTACTATTCCACATACGTGGCTGTCTCCTCTAAAGAAGAATTTCACTTGTATCATAATAATATATAATTGATAAATGTTTTTCTAGGTACACAGCTGGTGTTGTGGGGGGGTTTAAGCACAATTGCCATTTGTGCTCCATCAGGTGAATTCTTGAACATGCGAGCTCCATTAGCAATGGGTCTGGGTGCTGTTTTCGCTGCTTCGCTTGCAGGCATGTTTCTACCTCCTACAACTGCGCTTGGAGCAGGTATGAATAAAACTCATTATTCAATATTTTGTGGATTTTAAATGTTACCCCATAAAACACAACAATGGATAACAATGACCTCAATACTGTCTGCCAACGGATAGGTCTTAAAAAGTGTCACACCTGTGCTGGTAGTTGTTGGGAGCACTAAACTCGAAGTTGTTGACGAGTATATTTTATAGTAAACAGTCTGACCAGGTAAGTCTAACTTCGACCGAGAAGTTAATCGACGGATTCAACGCCGCTGGGCAGCGTTCGGGGAATTACGACACATCTTCTCGTCAGGTATACCTCAACACCTGATAACGAGATTGTACAACCAGAGTGTGTTGCCAGCGATGACTTCAGGCACCCACTGACGATACGTCCATTTAGTATACTTCCAAATGGACGCACTCCAAATAAAAATGTATCCAGATACGGTACCATTGACGATACTTCCGTTTTGACGCATAGCTTCACTTCGAACTTGGCAGTCGTACGGAATGGAAATAAGTAATAATATAGATAAATAATACTGTTGCGTGAATAAGTCAACTAGCGCCATCTAGTGTCAGGAAGGAGAGCGAGCTTTGCAGAAAATGACATCACAAATCTCTCAACCGACAGCGCCATCCGAAGAACTAAGTTTCTAGAAAATCTACACTCGCACACTCGTCCCTTTGCGCGCATTTACTTGAATATTCCGGATGCTTCTTTGCTAATTTAAATAAATAGGCGCTGCAAGATGCGATCGAGGCAGTGTTGATTTTGCGAGACAAGCGAAGCTTCGGAGCGGAATAAAGTGAATTAGTGTGTTTAATTATTAGTGTTTTAATTTGTGTAAAGTAAATTAAAGTGTTAATTTGGGTAATTTTATCGGCGATTTTTACTGTCACGAACCTCAAGCTCGTAACAATACTTTACTGGTAACTGCAGCAGCGTGTATTTCAATAAAAAGACAGAACCTAAACGGGGCAATCCATCGTAGTCTTCAAAGATGACAATGCATTTATATTTTGATTCTTAATTGAGGATATATGTAAATGTCTATGGGCCACAGCATCCACCATCAGGTGGACTGTGTATTAGTTTGTCACTCCCATTCTAGATTGATATAGATTATGGTGGTGCAATATCGTTGACTGAGGTAGAAATTAAAGAAATAGTGTAATGATTTCTTATATTTACGCGAACACTACACATGATTAAAACTACTTTTACGGATTTTATCGCGTTTATTTTTGCTTTTAATTACTTTTATTTTTAATTCCCGACGTTTCGGGCGCTTTCCAGCACCCATGGTCACGAGGGACTGAGATGACTGACGTCCCGATGTCATTGTTAAACCCGGAGTACCTTCAGCTTTTTTAATTATTGTTTATGGTCTGATCTATGCAAAATGAACTGACTATGTCTTGAGGTCTTGCAGTGGTATGCTTGGGTTTAGTTTTAATTTTATTGATTATAGGATCCCAAGCAGGTGGTAGTACCCAACCTCCTTCTCTATTGAAATTAGGATGTTTTTTAATTTCAATAGCCTCACGTATCATCCTTGGTAGGAATCGGTGTTCTTTCGCGAGGATTTGTGGTCTATCAAATCTGATGTAATGGTTGGGGCCGTCCAGGATATGATCACAAACTGCAGACTTCCCGGAACGTTGATGCTTCACATCAGCTATATATTCTTTTACGCGGGTTCTAATTGATCTTTTTGTTTGTCCTATATAAGAGAGACCACATTCACAATCAAGCTTGTACACTCTTGCATCTTGTAGAGGAATATGACACTTGACGGATGGTAGGAACTGACTAATCTTCTTCGGCGGCTTGTAGAATGTTCTAATAGAAGCTCGCTTCAAGATGTAGCCAATCTTGTCTGTGACACCTCTGACATATGGTAGTACAGCAGGCACACGCTCGACTGTGGCCGGCTTCACTCGGTCACTGTGACGTAGGCGCGGGACCCAAAGCTTGTTGTTGTGCAGAACTTGCTTGACGTGCTGAAGCTCGGCGGCCAGGTGTTTGCTGTCACAGATCCCTCGTGCTCTCTGTAACAAAGATTTGCCCACGGTAGCTAACTGTGAAGGATGGTGGTGAGATTCACCGTTTAAATATCGGTTTGTATGGGTCTTTTTCCTATACACAGTGTGACCAATGGTGTTATTAGGATTTCGGATGACTAACACATCTAGGAAAGGTAAGGAATTATTTGCCTCTAACTCCATAGTAAATTGAATTTTAGAGTTTATGGAATTAAGATGTTCTAAAAATGCAGTTACTTTGTCTGATGGTAAAATTGTGAAAGTATCGTCTACGTACCGCTTGTAGATCCTTGGTGTAGCAGGTGCAGTAAGGAGGGCTTTCTCCTCAAAGTCTTCCATGAATATATCGGCGACAATGGGAGATACAGGTGAGCCCATCGCAACACCATCTACTTGCTTGTAAAACTCTTCCTTCCACAATAGATAGCCAGATGTTAGGCAATGTCTTAGTAATACTGCATATTCTGCTGGCATGTTATTTTCCTCTAGTTTCCTAGTTATAATTGAGATGCAGTCTTCAACAGGTAGGCATGTAAATAGAGACTGAACATCAAAACTGACCATGGTTTCATTGTCAACTCAACGCGATAAAATCCGTAAAAGTAGTTTTAATCATGTAAAGAAATAGTGGATATTATTCATTATAACTATACGTGGTAGAGCAACGTTGCATTTATTTTTGGCTGTAGCACAAATGGGTCGGCTCGAACGAAAAAGGACCAAGATCTCACAAAATAGCAGATTAAATTTGCTTAGTGTAAAGAACCAGGGGTGACATTGCATTTACATTTTGATTCTTATTTGTTGACAGATTCAGTCTATGGGCTACAGTATCAACTTAACATCATGTGGACTGTACTCGTTTGTCACCCATAGTTTACATGACAAAAATATATTTAATCCAATACACAGTTTATGTTTGACAAACAGAGCACATGTACCACCATCAACACCAAAACATTAACTGACACAACAACGTCCAAAAAATGGACGCCGGTTCGCCCATTCACTGACAAATCGGACTGCTTCCATTTGGCGTGGTGAACGTTTTCGACATTGACGGACGGCCGCGGATGATGTCCATTTGGACTGGACGCATGGATTTCAATCCGTTTGGAAATCCAGAGCTGGATGAAGTCCATCCAAATGGAATATGTTTTTACTATTCACGGAACGATTTTGGGCGATTACCACTCCATTTGGATTAATGGACGTATCGTCAGTGGGGTACCATTATGGATCTGAGACATGGTCCTTCTATGCTGGTCGTATGAGGACGTGCATACATGTTCACACTCGCAGTGATCATCATGCGCCGCGTGGAAGTGGCCGCGTATAAAACCTATAGCGTAGTATACTAACTCCGCATTTGCTTTGATGTGTCGATGCAAGCACGTACATAAGCGTACACGCGCGTGTCATGCGATTGCTTCTAGATATCCGAGACATGTTTTCTGAGCAGTGGCGCTAGTGTTTAGAAACTAATACTGAATTCAAATCTATCGCATCCATGATACTTGGTTGGCATTGATGAACTGATGCACGTCTCGTGTCCACAAATGCGGCCGCATACGTTTCGGCCAATATCAACTGAGAGTCTAAGCATATGCGACGGGCTTAGGATGTAAGAAATCAATGGATGTGGGTAGCTCAGTACCATACTTTGTGGCATTTCTTGGGAGAGACCTATTTTAAACAGTGAACTTGATGGGTAACCAGATGGAAAATAATAATAGGGTATGTTCCAAAATAGAATGCAGTGTACGTCATGAATCGACTGTGACTATACTGGTGATTCGTTCCAAAACATAGGACAGTATATGACGTCATACATTTGCGCCGTATTGGAAACGTATTGGCGATTATTTTGTCATTTTGTCTCCAAAAATCATTATCTCTCCTCCTAATGGAGATACCAGCAATTATTCTTAATTTTTTTGTATGTTAATAAATAAAAACAAATTCTGTCTTGCTTCATTCAGCGCACACACAATTAAAAATTGTTTTATATGACACGATATGGCGGCGGCACGCCATTACAACAGAGTGTCAATTGATGACCTCATTTGTATTCGGCAGTATACTGAAAACGTTTCGGAACATACCCATAATATCGTCTTAACCGAATTTCAGTCACAGGATTATAGTCCATGAAGGTGTGCGCAAGCACAGGTGCACTATCTATTATATCTCCTAAAGGTCGCAAATTATTAAAAAAATTACATAAAAGAGGATACCTGTGGAGTTTCTTTCGTCGTTTCTTCTCCGGTCAGAGAAAACTCATTTCGGAATGCTACAAAAAATTATAGTTGACAATGGAAAATTTAATTGCTTATGTTGAATAAATAGATTTAATTCCCTCACTTTTAGAGCTTTATCACACTGGCGATTTGCAAGCGAGTTCGCAACGAGCGCGCGGCCGGCCCGCCGCTGAGACACCTCGGCACAGAATAAATAATAGACTGCACGAATAGCGCCGACGTCATTTTGCAAGCTCCCATTCAACAGTCTGCCCCACCCCACTTCTTTGATATGACTGAAGTTTGCTCACCGCAAACACACGGCGAACTCCCTTCCGCACTTACCTCGCTTCGAACTCGCATGCAAATCACCAGTAGGTATATTAAGGCTCCTATAATCCGATAGTACGGCTATCAGATGTCATAGAAGCGAGATCGGGTGCAGAACTTAACGGCTTTACATGCTTTCCGAGGCACTTTATGTCATATTTTATGTTCTAGGATTATATTCACTCAGCTTGTATGGTGGGCTGATAGTATTTGGTGGTTTCCTGTTGTATGATACACAAGCAATAATCAAGCGAGCAGAAATGCATCCCACTTATGCATTACAGCCATATGACCCAATAAATTCGTAAGTAAAATTATTTGTTAATTATTTGTATTTAATACCTTCGCAAGGAAAAGGTCGATATTTTATTATGTTTATTGTATATGCCGTGGTAAGAGCTGAAGGATTCTGCACTCGCCGTAAATATCAATATGCGACCAACCGGGATTCGATCTTCGCCGGCACCAATGAAATTGCGAATTGAAATTTTGAAATAAGACAGCTTGTAAAAATGCCTCCCCTGTACAGTAAAAATCTTACTGTGTAGAGGCAATAATTAAAACAAAATGTACATAATATTCTTTATCACACTGATAAAAGAGTAGATTAAGCTGATTGTTTGTTATTACCACATCCTTGGTACTGGACGGCTTTCGAAAGATCATCTTTAACTATTTTGTTTTGTTTACAGGGCCATTTCAGTATACCTGGACGTTCTGAACATCTTTATCAGGATTGCTATGATCCTATCAGGCTCTGGAGGAAACAGGAGAAAGTAAAACATACTTCATAGAATGAAGCATCTTTTTTGCCATGACTTATTCCCTTACTGCTAGCCGACATACTGAATGGCATCACATGATTTTTAGCTACTAAATTTTGATTTCAAAATTAGAAACGAAAAATGTCCTAGGTATTATATTGTTATTTATATCTTTCGTTAAGTTAACTTATGTTGTAATTCGTCAAGGTGTAAGAAAAGTAAATTAACTAGTAAATGTTAGATACATACCTACAACCGCTGTTTTATTTTGAATCAAATCATTAAGCAACTTTTGGTAAATTAAACAAAAAATCACTGTAAATAATCAACCTATGAACATTAAAAACGCTTGTACAAGGTAATTTATATAATGAAAGCAAAGTTTCCCTTTGAAATCCAGTACAATACATAAGTCTCTTCGAGATAGTGCCAGCTTGAAAACAGTGAGCATCGAGCTGATTCTTCCTTCGCACTTTGTATATCGTCAGACCTACAATTTCGTATTAGTTGAATGTTTTGCTACGTAGTACTATTATTTATTATGTAGTTTTGACGTGATAGCAGACTCATTTGCAATGTTATAATACATCTTGGATACCTTGTGTAAACAAAATATACATTATGAAAAAAACTATTTTAGTTTAATATTTGTTTAATTATTATCGACATAGTAATAACTTTACGAAGATTTCTGCTATCGAAATATCCCATATAGATAATGGAAGATTAAGTGCACCGACACCGTGAGAAGAATATGTGGGATTGTTCGCAGCATCTCCTACAGGCTCGACTAAACAGGTCATATCTTCCGGCAATGTGTGGCTGCAACACTGTGGCCGGCAACATTGCTAGCAATACCCCTTTTTTTCTTTTACATGGGGAAATGCATACGCATACCCGCCTCGCGGAGCAAGGACAGATTATGTCAGACTCGCACCGACTAAAACCTCATGGTGTTCCACCTTCGTCGCGTATTACCAGGGCCACAGGAACGCTTTCGCACACATCCGCGGCGCCACCAGCGCCGGCCGTCCCATGGCGGCATCTCCTCGGAAGAGGACAACTCCCTTTCCCCTTCTCAAGTAAGGCGCACCAGAACACATGGCGCGCCTTCATCCACGGCCTCCAACTACATCTACGCAACGGACGCCCCCGTATCCGATGCGCGAAGGCAATGGGGCCAGAAAAAACGAACCATCAGAAGCACTAGTCTTCCTGACCCCAGCGGCGGATGTGGTCAACCAAGATTCGGCTGCGGAGGGTAGGGAGAGCGGCGCCTCGCAATACCAACACTCCTCTCCCCTCGTAGCCACCACCGCATCAACGGTGCGGCCCCGTTTGAGTCGCGGAGGATAGAGTGAGTGGCGCATCGCCATACCAACGCTCCTCTTCCTCCGCGACTCCACCTCGGCTGCAGCGATAGGGGGAGAGGACATCCCTTTCGCCGCAGTCCACCAGCACACATCCGAAGTGGGCTCGCCAAGCCCACTCGAAGTCGGGCCAGCCATATGGGTTCCTTTTTGTTCACCGCGGGTGACCAAGCCACGGCATCTAAGCCCCCCCCCTGTCACAAGGCGGAAATCTGTTCGGGGGGGGGGGGGTGCTAGCAATACCCAGTGCCTGCATATATTCACTAGATTTTTATATTTTACTAGCTTTCCACTCCGCGGTTTGGACTACATTAATTCAAATTCTACTGATAGTAAGTGACGACTTTTTAACAGAATTAAGCTCGTTTCTTGCAGTAAGTCGTATTACTCCGGAAAAATCACCGGCAGTAGATGATCCCACAAGAAGTCTTGCGAGGAAAAAAACTAGTAAATCGCAGAGTCATGGCATAGCGCCAAACATCCATATGGTATTCTGCCGTGAGTTTTGCCCAGATGTGCCGAACCGAACAAATTGTTTAAATACTCCACGTGGAAACTGCGAGAGAAAATACAATAAATGGCATTCATTTCCGTCGGCTACGATTTGAGTCACACTGCTGGATGCGGTCAAGTGGAAGGAACTCGCACTGGGGCGCCCTGGCGCAGAGATGAGAAAAGTAATCCACGTGAGAGCGAACTTGCGGCTTGTAAAGTTGCAAACGGTGTGCCGGCATGAAATACTGTCCCACACACAAAAGCATCCACCAGTGTTACAATCAGTAACAGCAGCATATAATTGATATACAGAAGAAACGAACTGCCAGAGGACATTCAAAACAGCCTATGATGAATGCTATAAGAGACGAGAATGGCTATATTCTGAATGATGAAGTTTTGAGTTTAAAGAGATGGAAGGAATATTTTGAAAGCGTGTTTATGAGTGAGGAGACAACATGTGTACTAAGTGAAGTAGAAACTCCGAAAGAAGAGGAAAGAGGTAGCGAGATAAGTATAGATGAAATAATGAAAGCAATGAAAAGCATGAAAGCGGGTAAGGCGCCCGGATATGATAGAGTTTCACTCGAAATGCTAAGGGCTGGAGAGGTGGTGGCAGGCCTGCTGCACACCTTGTTTAATTTATGCTGGGAACTGAAGCGGGTACCGGTAGACTGGTGCAAAGCCGTGATAGTCCCAGTATATAAAGGAAAAGGGTCGCAGCAGGACTGTAAAAACTACCGTGGCATCAGCCTTCTTAGCATTGTGGGAAAACTGTACGCTAAGGTACTGATTGAAAGGGTCATGAAAGAAACTGATGGAAAAATTTGGGATGTGCAAGCGGGATTTAGAAAGGGAATGGGATGTACAGATCAAGTCTTTTCCATGCGCATGATCGCGGAGAAGTTTCTGGCCAAAAACCAAAAGGTTTTTTGTGCGTTCATGGACTTGGAAAAGGCCTATGACAGAGTGGATAGGGATTTGCTATGGCAAACACTGAACTCATTTGGGTTGAGCGCTGGCTTGATACAGGCATTGGAGTCTCTTTATAGGGACTCTAGTGCTTGTGTTAGGATCAACGGGGTCTACTCGGACTGGTTTGACATCCATAAAGGTGTCAGACAGGGCTGTGTGGCTTCCCCGTGGCTGTTCAACCTATTTATGGACAGTTGTTTGCAAAATTTGAAAGTTGAAGAATTCGGATTAAGAATGGGTGAGTTAACCGTCAAATGCCTTTTGTACGCCGATGATCAAGTCATTCTTTCGTCGTCGGCGGCCGAGTTGCAAATGATGGTTACATTAATGAACGGATCATTAAAAGAAAGGAGAATGAAAGTGAACGCAAGTAAGACGAAAGTGATGGTTTTTGAAAGAGATGAAAGCAAAACGGTATGTGAAATAAGAATAGAAGGAGAGTTAATTGAGCAAGTGGATGAGTTCGTATATTTGGGATGTGTATTCAGCAGGGATGGGAGATATGATCAGGACATTGAACGACGAGTGAATGCAGGAAATAAAGTAAATGGGGCTCTACACTCTATTGTGAAAAGTCAGAATGTGTCAAAAAAGGCACGTATGGCAATTCACAGTGCTGTATTAGTCCCTACTTTAACGTATGGTAGTGAAAGTTGGGTGTGGCAGAAGAAGCACGAGAGTAGAATAAACGCAGTAGAAATGCGGTCGTTAAGGAGTATGTTAGGGCTGAATCTGAATGACAGGGTAAGAAATTGTGTAATAAGAGAAGAGTGTGGTTTGCAAGATGATGTTGTGACCAGGATTAAGAAAGGAATGCTTCGGTGGTTTGGTCATGTGGAAAAAATGAATGAGGAAAGAGTGACAAAGAAAATTTATGTTGCAGAAGGGAATGGCAGAGTCGGAAAGGGACGTCCTAGGCGAAAATGTATCGACCAAATTGGCGATTTATTGGAAACGGGCCAAATTAGGACTACCCTTAACCGACGAGCATGTATGCGTAGGTGTATGGATGTGAAGGAGGCGAGAGAGGTGTGTCAGGATCGTGCCAAATGGAAGTCTGTAGTCTCTGCCTACCCCTCTGGGTGACAGGCGCGAGTGTTTATGGAAGAAACAATGAGGTAACAGCACGCAGCCTTGTGGAACACTAGCATACTTTACGTGGTAGAGCCATGCTGCAGTTATATTAGTAGTATAGTTGTAGCACGAATGGTTCGGCTCGACCGGGGAAGGACCACGCTCTCACAGAATACCAGCGTCAAATAGTAGCTTAATGCTGCTGTGTTTCTTATGGTGAGTGTAGGGAACCGGAGACCCTTTTACTGGAAACGAGCCATTCCACCTAAGTCCTCACGAGTGACAACGCATCTGCATATTGAGTCGTAATCAAGGATAGATGTGGATGTCTATGGGCCACAGCAACCACTTACCATCAGGTGGACTGTGTGCTCGTTTGTCACCCTATCCTATAAAAAAATAGGCTCTTAGTCCCACGGTCTACTACGACCTTGATGCTCCGATTTGCAAAAAAAATGATGATCCAATTACACAATTTCTTGGGAAGCCCAAATGAAGGAAGTCTCTAAAGAAGTGTTTTGTGCAAAAGCACACCTAAGGTCTTTGCTATGTTCAAAGTAAGGCCTCCGTCTTAGATTTTACTGCTTCCTCTCATTATGAGCAGGTTGATTAAAGGATTAGAATTAAAACCTGCTGATTAGGGGCTACATTACCGGCCACTAATCAGCTGGTTGTCCTCGACGTACTTTATGAGCTGGCAGTTTAGAATGGATTCTATTATTTTGGAGAACAAGGAGACGATAGTGATAATCCTGTATTTGGACGGGTCTAAGTGGTCACCTTTTTAGGGATCAAGTGCACTAAAGCTGTCTTCCATAAGTTCAGGATTAACGGAAAAGACGCCTTAGAACCTGTGTTAATCCTAGAACATCCGTCTTCAGCACAATAGGAGGGACTCCATCAGGTCCACTCAACTTGTTGACGTCCAGGGAGGGGACTGCTTTGCACATTGAGCGCTGTGTAAACAGTACATCCAGCGTGGAACAATCACACCGCGGGATAGTCGGCGATGTATAGCCCCCTCATCGAAAGTCTAGTTGGAGTCAAAAAGAATCTACATCTTCTTTCTCCTTTTTTGCATGGGCCAGTAAGTCGTTTTTCC